TTGGTGTTGCAATGCAATGCCCAATGATAAGTCAAAATTGCATACTTGTATTGCATTGTTCATATTGTTCATTCAACACACTCCTTTTATCAAATCTAATCAATCACTTTAAAACTGCCCACTCAAGTGCGAATTGTTTGTTCAGTTTGTATCAGTGTCGTCATTGCCAATTAATATCAACATCTTGTCCAGTACTTACTGAACATTCTTTACTCAATCATATCGAAAAAGAGGTAAGTGTTAATTTTAAGTAAATTGACATTCTTATATGTATAATTATAGGTGTCTATTCAGTGTATATATCAAAATCACTCGGGAAATCCAATCTTTGCTGGGGAAGCAATGTACGAATGCCTGCTTTGTTCATTCAAAGCAAAAGAAGTTAAAAATTTAACCTTACATTATTTCGCTTTTCATGGTATCAAAAATGCCAGTCCAAATTTGACCAAACATTTGTCCTATGATTATTCATCAGGTTCTTAGTATTATTCGTTCTTTTTTATTTCAATTAATTACTTCAATCACTTAGGATTAAATTATAATTTTCATGATGCAAAATCGTTGTTTATGGGTGGTGATAAACGAAATGCATTTGTCGATCTTAATCAAGATGATGGTGAAACGAGTTCTCATTCAGTAAGTTATTTCATTTAACGTTGGTTGAATACGTGTTCATTTTTGTTCATCTAGGTTGGAACAGAAAGTGGTCGATTTTCCAGGGGATCTCATCTTAGTTGTAATCATTAGATTTTTTTGCTATTTAATTATTTTTATTCTTTAAGCATCCCAAGTCAACAGGAGTTTAATGCCATATAAATGTACACACTGTGGCAACGCTTATCACAAACGAAAGTATTTTGCTGAGCATGTTTTCTCCTGTTCCAAATCTTTGCAGTTAACCTGCCCATGTGGCCGTGTTTGTAAATGGCGATCGAATTTCTATGCACATAGGTTAGTATTATGTATAATTTAGTGTTTCTTCGTAGTGAAAGTATTTTCCATTTCACTGTCGAAATCACGTGTTTGTGTGATCCAATGTAATGTAGTCTTAACCGAAGAAGTTAATGACAGATGTAGTTGGATAGTCTGTCTGTTCCATGTTTAAAGTCTCTTTTGAAATCAAGGATATTATCGTTTCTCATTGTTAGTAGAATAGCTTTCCTGACCAAAGTTTTGGTGGGATGAACGTTCGTTACATCTGTAGGACATATTAAACATTTGGACATCAAGCAGGAATAGCGCATTCCCTGTAGTCATTTTAAGAATTTTACCTGCAGTTTCTGTATCATCAAACTTCAGTAATACAGACAGGTTATTCACGCGTCGGATTGAATTATCTGTACACTATCTAACCAAAACTTCCTGTATCTCTCGATTGCTTGAGTAATGCATTTTTTTTTTGAATTTTAGAAAATCATGCGCCGTTTATAAACAGTTGGTAACTGGAGGCAGTCATCTCTCTGTTTTTCGTCGTCGAGGTCTAACCTTATCTAAAACAAATATCAGTGATGATGCTGAAAGTATTACTAAAGAATCGATAAGTTCGAGTGAACACCTGCTTGATATGTCGACTAATCCAAAAGATGCTTCTAATCTAAACTTAATTGCTGGAAATAATTTAACTCCCTTAGATTCTTCATCTTCTACACCTGAAGTTAATCCTCAGTCTAATACAGATTCTAGTGTTGATGTATTTAGAAATCATTCTGATTCCCTTCAAACTTCTATCACTTACATAACTCCAGTTTCATCTCTAACCACATCTGTTCCAACTTATGTTTCTAATGAAAACATTGAAACTAATAATTTAAATCATGTTGTATCTAGTAATTCAATGGTCACATCTGCCTCTATAATTCATGCATTAAGTCAAACTTCCAATTTATCCGTCTTAGTTGATACACGTTGCCCTGTCAGTAATTATCCTTCAAATCAATTAAGCGAATGCACTGCCACTAATGCAGAAAGTGGATTTATTCAGTGTGTATCATCAAAAGGGGAACCACTCATTATGTTTCCTGGTATGTGATTTCAATAACTTGAATACATTAATTTCACTCTCCGGTCTAATATATAAATAATACCGCGACATTCAGTTGAAAATTCTCAGAAATCACAATGCTTTTACACTATTTTCTCTGTATATCTTTCGTATAACAACGTAATAATCTGTTTTCCTTTCTTATTGATTTCGCATTTTATGTAACGTCTGTATAAAAAGTTATCTCTTTTTTATTTCTCATTTTGTTTGAATTGTCACTTCTATTTTCAAACATGAATTGTTTGCAAAAAAAAGCAATCGAACAAATTTTTGTTACGTTTGCAACAATTTAAATTTCATAATAATCCAAGGTATGCTTTGCTTTGAAAAATCTCAGCCTATAAACAAAACAACACTCATCATGTTTCTTAAATTGTACAACTTTAAGAAAAACATTTATGCTTTAATTATAAGCAGGACATTTTTGTAAATTTTTAGCATAGAAGAAAGGTTGTTATTTGATCGGAAACTTTCTTACATAGATAGATTGTCTTGTAAATTAATTAACGACTAATTAAAATAGTGATGTGAACGAAATAATTTCTCATAATCCAAAAAATATTGTGCATACATGTATTTCATCCTAGACCACACTGGTTAGTTTCACTAGTCCGTTACCCAAATAACACCATGTACAGGAAATCCCACTCTAAAAACAATTTGACGGTTGCAGATATTCATTCTGAATGTCGTGAGTAAATTATCCAAGGTGTTGTATGTAGCTAGATTACAGTCAATATTTGTTAATAGCTCTCACTATTCCACATCAAAATTACCAAAATGTACGGAGTTGTGCCTTTTGTAAACTGGACTACTTATCAACTTCTCATCAACTTAATTTCATGATATAGTAACATTTCACTATTTTACTTCAAAACTTTGCTGTTTGTTTAAATTCAAGTATGACTTTTATCTGTCTGTTGATATACAAGACGTATCCAAATGCTTTTTGTCCCGAATATAAATAAGACTTAACACAATTGTATGTGAACTGAAGGTAGCCATGCTTGTTAGTAGGAAAGAAAAAAATTCTCTTAGTTAATAAACACATTCAATCGGAAGAAGAACGTAGGTGAGTGGTAAACTCTACGTAACGACAGTTTCGTAGCTTTGTTAAGACATCCAATGCATACTCGCTGCAAAACTATGGGGATTGTTAGGATTGAGATCTAACTGATGTGCCATAAATCATCTGAATGAATCTGTAATTGATGGTGGGCGAAATGTCAGACTATACCTTAGACTGATAAGGACGAACTGAGTACGAACACCAATGATGAGCAGCTAACCAATCATGTAGAGCCTTACATAATAACTGACTTTGGATTCGAGACAAACTATACTAAACACGTGTGGCCGCTTTTCTCATTTGGATTATACGACAGGAAGCAGTACTCTGTTGAAGACCCTTTCTGGTGCTGATAGTAGCATGATTCCTCTGTAGTTTTTGCGCCCACTAAGATCTCATATTTGCTATCTTCTTAGGGATCCTCCTTCCTGATCTGTTGGTACTTGTTCTTCTTCCCAAATCTTGCTGAAGAGTATGTGGAGCACCTTTGCAGCTCTGTGTCTGCTTTGAGTACCTAAGCTGGTATGTTGTCTGACTGCTATTTTGCTGATGGCCATGCAGATTTATCCCATCGTTGGTGGGGTACCACCTATAGGAAGGCTTGTGTATAGTGTCTGAATGACTAGTTGGTTCAGTGGATCTTGCTCCACTGAATAGCTATTCTAAGCTCTCTACCCACCTGCTTCGCTGTTCCTGGGTCTCAGTGATTGATTTGTCTTCGTCATTTAATGTTCGCTGTAGTTTACAATATATTCATGCTAGCTTCAGTGTATCAAACTTGTCTTGTCTCCTCTTGATGCTTTTCCGCTGTCGTTGCTAAGTCTTCTACATATTTCCGTTTATTAGCTTTAATGTTCCCCTTCACTTGCCTGTTTGCTTCTGTGCCTTAGGTTTCTCTGGTTCTATTCGGATGTTACTGATTGCTGTCTGCTTGTCCTATCTTTTTCAATCATTTCGACTTCAAAGTCACATTTCGCTTATTTTTCTGTTCAATGTGTGCTCGACGCTTGTCTTCCTTGTTACCACGTTGGTCCATTACAGAAATGTCAATAGTTTGAAGTGAATCTGTCTTATTTATCTTCGTTTATTTCCGTAGCGTCTATGTCCTTTGTGTTTCTGCAATCCATGAACTTAAAAATTATTTGGATCAGATATCGAGAATTTGTGCAGCTTTTGTATCCAAGACATTTGAAGAGATTCCGTTGACTCTCTAGATGTTTCAAAATCTGTTTGTTCTGGTTGTGCAGTATATTCCTTCATAGATAAGTTAGGTCAGCATCAGGCTAATTTTCAGGATATGGTCTTTTTGATCTGATGGAAACATATCAGTTTCGAATTTCTTTGAACACCGTTGAGTCATTGAAAATATATGTATATAAATAAAACTGACCGACAAAAATTGGATGAACAATATTCAGATTCTTGTTAGGGATCCGAGTCACTTGGAGGTTTTGATTGTTTAAATACATGGCGGCACATACTACAAACATTTTGTGTGATTATTTTTTAACCATTAGTTTCATACATAAAGCCAATTACGACTGTATCCTAATCCAGTTTATCTAGTTGTATTAGATTACTTCACATTGACTGTTTATCTCAAATATACTATGGAGGAAACGTTTCAAAACTTCGTGATTTTCTGTTGATACTACTGCCTTTTAATTAAATTACTGTGAAATAATGTTTACAGAAAAACACATCAGGACTATTATATAAATATATCTTTCAGTACAGAAGTAAATCTTAAGAAGAGAACAATTTACACTGACAAGGTTCCGCTCCCATAAACCTACTGTCTGACTTCTTAACAAATATCAATCCGTGAAAAGATCTAATTCACTTTTCAACTAAAGAAATGTAAATTTCCTCAAAATAGTCAAATAAACAGTTCATAAAATAGTATAACATATATATTATTGTTCTGATAAAGCGGAAGGGATGAATTTGATTGGAGATGACAATTTATTTGTAGACTGATAATATTTCTCGTATCTCTCTGTTTGAGATCGAAATACAAAGAATAATTACTAGTATCACCAGGATTGTAACAAATTGACAAATAAAAGTACATTCAAGGAAAAAGCATCACAGAACATTTTACTGTTGGTATCCCAATCCGCGTATAGAAATATATGTATGTATAAATATAGATAAGTGCATTTAGATAAAAGCACAGTTGTTGTATATCGATTCTGTTGTAAAATTGAAATGCAAACAATCAATATAATAATCAGAAAAAAAATTAATAATAATATAACTATTATCATTTTCCATTTAAGCCCATTTCGTTGATCAATGTGACTTTTTGAACTTTTTTATCAAAACTATCCAAATTATAAACACGTAACATTTCTTCACGTAAACTTTCAGCTGCCAAAGCTAAATTTCTTGACTATGGAAAATAAGAAACAATTATTACTCACTTTAATATATTTTTCCCTGATATTTGTAATTTAAAGTTATTCTCTATAATTATTATTAATCATTTGCTTTAATTAAAACAAGTAAAAAGAAGCTCTCATCAATTAGAACCTATGGTAAATGATTTAAGTTTTGTTGGTCAGTTGTGCTTTTAATACTTCACCGATAATTTAAACGAAAATCAATAAATGGGGTATCCAGCTGTATTGATTGTGCACTGCTTCAACTGAATGTTATCTTTTGATGAAAAATGATATTGATTCATTTTTTATACAGAAGGAATACCAAACGAATCAGTAGTAATCAACTGAAATAGTACATCCTAGATAACCCGAAAGGGATTGCTGTTGAGATATGTATCCCTGGGAATTCCAAGGTTGAAAGAATTTAGAATGATCGGTATGTGTAACCAAACACTGAAAAAATAGTGATGTTGATGCGTCTATCAGATAATTCGCAGGCATGATGATCTATGCAGCATCATATGGAAGTGCCAATCGTAAATTAAACTCACTAATCCTCGTATATTTTGAAGCACTTGCCAATCTGATTAAGTAGAGTTTAATGTTATTCTGATGTAAAATAAAACATCACTTGTCAATAATATAACTTTTAGAAGTAAACTAAAAGTGTAAAACTAATGATCACATTTAATATACTTCAAACAGCACTCACTTGTTGAATTCTAGCTTCTTTTTCTTCAATTATTCGACGTATATGTTCATCTTTCTGTTGTAAAGCTAGTTCAGCTGCTTTTCTTAGTTCTTGTTCTTTGCGTTGTATTCTTATCATAAATAATCAAAGTTTAAAGTTAATCACCATTTATAAAATAGAAAATATTCTGTTTAGTGGGATGATGAGTCTTCGATAACAGTAAGATTCCCAAAATTACCACCTTCTTCCTATGCATAGTAAGGTTATAACTCAAAACATAAAATTCTAAGTCTACTCTGATTTCTTTTATTTGTAAGTTTAATTTCACCAGAAAATTACTTTTTGACTAATTAATCATTATTTTGAAATTTAATATTCAACAATTACTGTTGTCTTATTTGTTTCGTCGTTGGTACTAACTAAATTCTACTGATGAAGTGTTCACTCATTTTCTGATTTGCAGTAGTTAAGTTGAAGAAATTTCATGACTTAATTTTTAGATAAGAATGAAAATTATTACCGTCTTATTTTTTTTGATGGGATTGATAATATAACATTCCATATATTAAAATAACAGCAGTTAACAAATTCATGAATCCGTTTTTTTGCTAATATAATTTTATTACTTTTATTTCGCATACAAACTATGATCATTACTGAGACAGTTTGTGTTTGTGGTTTATTCTGATGGTGGCAAGATATCTATGATACTGAGGGCAGCACTAAAAAACCGAAGAAAAGCATCTTATGACTCTCTTCCAAAAAAACGACTATCCACGCAACTTCATCAAAAAACACCAACCGAAATCGTCAACAAAAGCGAAATCAAGTGCAGGAACCAATAAACGAATCATCCTACCATACATAAAAGACATAACGGAACATACAGCACGACTAGTGAAACCATTTGGAATTGGTGTGGCACACAAACCAACATAATCAATCCTATGTAGACCAAAGGACAAAATGACAAAGGAAGAAAATCCAAATACCATCTACAAAAGAAATCGCTCAGACTGTGAAAAACACTATATAGGACAAAGTGGACGGCCTCTTCAGCATCGTTTACGTGAACACCAATTAGCAGTCAAACGCCACAACAACGCTTCGCTTATATCAATACACACCGACAATTATGGACATATCGTCGATTGGAACAATGTGAAAATACTGGATAGGAAGAGCACAAAGAACTCTAGAGAATTTTTAGAAGCTTGGCACTCAGATCAATCAGCAAACACATCGACATTGATCCAATTTATCAACCAATCAGAAAAATCATAGGTGACATGGGATCAAGAAACAAATCAAAACGGGGATACAATAAAAAAAGGTGCAAACAACGACAGGTCTAAGGTCAACAGCAACCAATGAAAATCGAGGTTAACAGAACAAGCTATGGGTCAAACATGGAGAAATCCGAATGCTTCACTTCTATCTGAAGTTCGTGCTGATGATATCGTTCAGAAGAACAATGAAAACTTCACAACCAAAAACATCCAACTCAGAGAACGAAACACCACCACAAACAACCATCATCACCTATAAGTAAGATTCAGAAAATGATTTCTTGGATGACCTTTCTTCACGATTCCATGGACTCTGAGAATAGGCTTTCAAGCGAATCGAGGGTTGGTCTTTGTTTGATCAAGCTGAAATTCCGTTAATGGTTACTGATTAATAAAACTGTTGCAGCGATGCATTCAAGAGTGAGGATTCATTTAATTTATTTTTGTTATTTTACTTATACATTTTTATATCTAGTCAGATGGTGAAACTTATACTATTTTAAACTTAGTTAGTGCATTATTGTCAACAGTTTCGTGTGTGTTCTTGTTGGCAAATAAATTTGTGTAACTAGTAAAAGCTTTATTGTGTCCCGATGGCTTCCAGAGTACCATATAATCTTCTAAACTCCTTAAATTTGTCTATCATCTTATTGATACACATTGAAAAAACTGGAGTTTTGAATTCATGGTAAAATATTTTTCCGTTGAATAGACAACATTCGTTACCATATGTCACTTAATTTAAGATTTCTTTTTGGTTAAAAAGAAGTATCCATATGGCATGCATACATCATTCGTTATTCGCGTATGATAGGTCTTATAATCATCAACTCATTTCAGTATCTCTATTAAGTTGTTTAAAAACTCAACATTTTATCATTAGATAATCTAATATTATAAAAAGTGGATCATTATCAAAAAGAATCATTCATTTCTTGACTAGACTACTTTAAATAGCCTCGTTGGCAAGCTGGGTTAAAAATAAAGATAGTATCGAGATTTGAATGATAAGTATTCCAATAATATTATAAGCTTGTACACATAACAATTTAATAGTTCCGTGTAAAAAAATATGATCATATAAATACATCGGATCATGTTCTTAACATAAATAATAATTGCTAATATAGTAAGAGAGTGATACGGCTGAAATTATCTTCGTAGTGCAATTTTCACTAAAAATACATAGAATAATCCATAAGTATGTTCAAATATACTAGTGGTTTTTTTTAATTATTATCAACCAGTAATAAAACTCAACTCTCACTAATCAAAAATAAGATATTTCAACTAACTCTTTGGCATTTTCTTCAACTTGCATTTGTTTTTGTCTTCGTTCTGAAGCTAATCGTTTCTGTTCTTCTGATAATCTACAGGATACACGTTCAGCAGCTCTTTGTATTGACTATACAATTGACAATAAAATAAAAATGAATTGTTTGGATAGCTTAAACCTAAAAAAAATACTTGCTTAATTTGTAAAATTTTTATTTTATCTAAAGTAAAATTAGTGATATTTCATTTATGTTTTGTGAAAAGAGAAACTTATGAAATTTATGATTGTGTTGAAATGAAAAAACTGTAAGTAGAATATATATATATATATATATATATATATATATATATATATATATATATATATATATATATATATAGGTTGGAAGAAAGTTAGGGACAGCCAAACCAAAACATGGCACAAATCCATGAAGTCACTGACAAGTGGACTGAGTCATGTTGGTAGATGTAGGCTATCTAGTTGGGGTCCGCGAGACGATAGTCACCGATGGTTAGAGACCTTGAACGACATGGCTCAGAATCGTTTGCAATGGCGCAGGTGCATCCACTCTTTGTGTTCTTTTTAATTCTAACCTTCTGAATTCCTCATCTCTATCTTTCTCCTTCTAAATTTATCTCACTGAGTTATACTTCTCGAATCATATCTTCGCTCCCTAATCTCTCCCATCACTGTTAATACTTCTACTATCGCTATTACTCTTGGATTTGAAATGACAGTTGCGTCTCTGTGCTGATGTGGTATGGCAACTTATGTACGAAGTTCTTCGTTGTATCTGTCTGTCTACACTCCTCAAGTTATATCCTAATGACCACATAAGACTTAATTCTTTGATACCCTTCTAACTAATTCTGAAATACCTGATTCGCATCGAACTTCAATTCATTACAAAAACTTTATTCTAAATATAAGAGCTAGATTGTTGTAGGTTTGAGTTCATCAATACTTTTTCATTCAGATCAAAGTTAGATCAGTGAGAACGAAGAAAATGCTCTGAACACCATGTAAGCTGCCTTTTTTTTTATTATTTTCGCCATCATTCAATAAATTTGATATATGGTTAATGGCAGGTGTCTTTTATAATGCTATCTTTCCAAGGAGCTTTTAATTAGCTTAACAGATGATGTTCTTGACTTAATATAACTTCAAACTGTTATATGAATTATATATTCATGTTATTGAATGATCCAAAGCATTTTATCCTACTGATACTGCGTAAAATTAAAATCTGTTGTTTATTTTCGCTGACTATTTCACTAACTTTAAGAGCTTTTAGCTTATTCGCTAGTTAGATAACTTTTAATATATAAATTACTTAAATTAAAATCAGCTGTTGGAAGTGTTGAGAAAGATGATTCAAAATCGATTATATTGGGGTAGATGCATTTACTCTAAATATTGAGTCCCAGTATTCCTTTGTTTATCATTCAACTGAATGATAAAATTTCAATGAAATGTCCTAATTAAATAGTTGTTTATATGAATAATTTCTGATGATTTTCTTGTTAATATTAGCTTACTTGTTCTCGAGCTTCGTACAATTCTCTTCTGTACTCTTCAACCATTTCCCTTAATTGTTTTCTTCTTTCCAGAACTTGACGAACCCTTTTTGCACGTTCATGACTAAAAATATTTTGTAATTAGAGTTGAAAAAAACAGAAAGTTTTCAGTTTGTTACTGTGATGCCTTTAATTAAGCATATATTTCTAATAGTACTTTGAAATAAATTTGGAAGGTTCTGGAACCCTTAATAAGTATTAAAAAAATGTTTTAGTTATGTTTAGGGCTCCAAATCAGTGTACAATATCAATTTTTATGATATTAAACTTAAGATCCTCAATGGTTCACTAACCAATATCAGACTATTTTGAAAACAGCTTAATTTATACTCTGACTATTCGATAAAATAACGATTACTAATTACTATCTTCCATTTACCGACGAGCAAATATTTTACATACAGAAAAGTGTTTCGAAGTATAACTATACAATTACAATTTTAATTATACTTTAGTAAAACCGTGAATAGTGTTCATATAGTGATATTTTGTCAGTAGTGTTAATCACGTCATTTTACAATGATAATTTAACTTCATCGAAAACCTATGTTTATCAGTATAGAGTAATAGAGAATATTGAATTGTATTGAGATCAAGAACCGATTCAGGTTAGACAATCATTAATAATCTGTAACCCCTGGACAGTTGTTTCTTTTCAGTATGGGATTCATCAGCAGTACGGATTCACATCTCTGGAGCTAGAAACCGAGCCTAGAACCTTTGGCCTCGTATTCGGATGCTTAAGTTAAAGACCACTGAGCTGAGATCCAGTGGTAAACAAGTTTACCCTCAATCCATTCACGACATTAGTTGCACAATATCATAAAAACACTTAGCAATTTATCTAAAATTAGATATACTTTCATAAGTACGAATTCTGATAAAACAATTGATTCGATAATATGCCGGGATGACTGAAGCGAAGAGTTTGCTTGCTCGTTCATGGACAAGAACTGTGAATTATGGCTCCAATATCCTTCACAAGATATAATTACTGAAAGAACTGTATATATAATCTGGGAATCGTAGGTAGTGAATATTAGCATGTAAAAACGAATAAATCTAAGGCTACTAACCAAAACCTTCAACCGCTTGACATTATTATTACTAGTGAATTTTGAATTTTTCTTAAGTCTAGTGAATATTGATCTTAACTGTTATGATGTGCAGTGTCCTACATCTGATCGCGCGGTACACGATAAGTGCCTTACTGGCCACTTGAGTGAGAAGATAAAGTCTATTTTGCTAATAAATAATATGTACAATTACTCGTTCTGATTTACTCATTATATCAATAACATTATCACACATACTAGTTAAAGAAACTTACTGAGCTGCAATCATACTTCTTTCTTTTTCTTTCATAATTTGATTTCTGTGTTGTTCAACTTTGTTTAACTTCTCTTCATAACATTTTTGTGCACGTTCTCTTTCATCACTGCATCAATAACAACAGCAGTTATAAATGGATTATTATATTGTTTAGGCAGTCGATATCCAATTAATAACTTACAGTTTTTGAATTTATAACACCTCTTTTGTTTAGGTGTGGGGAATGAACTCTATCCAACCGTTATCATGAAATAAAACCTCATAGATAGACAGATTTTTCCGATGTTACCGGTAGCTGGTTAATAAAGAAATGCGGGACAACTGTTTCATCTTGGTTATAGATTTCTAACTAAGCCATAATTTCAACAGAGATTCCAGTGGTGAACATTTTTAGCTGCTGTCAAGTTAATGATAAAACAAACAATCCGAATCCATATTCATCAATGAGTTCTTATCGTGATTACACAATCCCAACAACCTTCTAAATAAGTTGACTCAAGTATCTATTAATCCGTGATTTTTTCTTAGTGATGAACATTACCATTTAATTATGCTAAATCCTTATAACGAAAAGCTATCAAAACAAAGATGATACTGAAAACTGCCAAAAAACAGTAAAAAAAAATATACGAATTTAAAATCAATTTTTTCCAAATACAATACACCTTACTTTTCCATTTGTTCTTGAGCTTGTTTTCGTTTCCAGAATTGTCTTTCTTTATCAAGTGATGAACATGATGCTCTACGCTATAATCAAATCAATCAATCAATATAGAAGTTTATATATGTGTAGATGCATAAATATGGGTAACACACAGAACATAGGATATTTAGCATGTATGTAGTAAATAGTTTAGGTAGGTAACGATCAATTAAGAGATGAGTTTTATTGAGACAGTTGGCATTAGCAAACAATACAAGGAAGGATATTTTCATTACTAAAGTGATTATTTACTTTATTAAGTGTGGGTCAAGTAATATGTACAATCTAACCTAGATGGTTATTATTATTCTTGCAACATGTTACTCAAGAAAAATACAAGATTAACAACTATAAATATTGACAGGAGACTTTATCACAATAAATTCCTGTGCTGTTATTATACAGTGCTTTGATTTATTTTTTACACTAATCAAATTCTCTTGGATTCAAAAGTGAATAATCATTTTATCAGAAAAATCAACTGATAAACTAATTTTTTGAAAAAATCTTTGATACCGGTTCTAGAGAATTTCATCAGAAGACGCTTACTACTGTTGTTAAAACTGAAAAAAGTCTTTATTTTTAAAAATTGTACTGATTGTCACCTGAAATGAAAGCAAATGAATAAAGGTGTGAACTAAAGATCAAAGAACAAGGCTATTGTTGAATTCGCGATTAGCAGTAATAAGTAACCTACTTCTTAACCGATTGTAGCTTTAACTTTGACCACTCGGCAAATCAAATAAGTGATTCAAAGACGCCAACTTTTGGAATCAGAAACGTCTATTTTGTGAGCCATTTGATATTAAAAATAAATTTACGGACATGTTCAGTAGCGTTTTACGCTTATATATCTTCTAAATTATTCTGAGCGTAAAGATAATTAGAGGTTTTACAACTGATTTAGAAAAACTAATTGATCTTTTAGATTCAAACACCAGAATAGATAGACTGTGGCTAACAGTAAAAACGTGCGTTTCGTCCTACTTGGGACTCATTAGTTAGATGTATTTTCACTCACGTTGATATTTAAAAAGAAAATCAAACCTAATACCATTTGCTTCAAATGTGACTTAAACTGTTAGCCACAGTCCATTTGTAGTAAATAAATTATGACGAAATTGTTTCTGTCGAGGCATACCAAACAAGATGTACATATGCCAACGAAGATTGATCAAAATCCAGTCAACGTAATAAGTGGAAGGATAATCCAAACCTTCCTAATGATGACACTTAAGTTTTTATTTTATGTAAGACAAATTACAAAATAAGATTCAAATGAACCTCGAATGTTTAACTATTTGCTATTAACCGCTGTCGTGTTCATTTCATAGTACTAATTAAATTCTATTTAGCAAGTTACAATCAAACCACGAGTATATACGATTAAACATTTCAATAATATTTGTTTTTATTTTAATTAGATTGAAGCACTAATCAAAAAATCTTGAACATAGGATTAGTGGTAATCTGAGACTATCAACAAGGCCGATCTACATTCTCGTGTAAAATTATCCTCCTTTTAGGATTCCTACTGAATGCCTTTCAAACACTCGGCTTTTGGAGTTCGTAATTTATTTTGGAATTATTTACAATGCATTTTTGTGTCACTTCGTAATTACTGTCATTATAACTCAGCTCATAGTACAAGGTGGTTAGTGAAACATTTGCTTGATCACGATCAACAAATTGACATTTATATGACTTCATTGAACCATATCTTTAAAAAAATGTAGTACGAAACTCTTATTAGTTATTCATTAATACCCAAAAACAATAGTAACTAAATTAAAATCTCAAAGTTGTAAATACGTTTTTACATATCTTGTTAATATGCCAGATAAAAACGAAATCATCCACTTGATAAGTCTTACTTAGCATAAAAAATGTATATCTTACATTTTAAGAATAAGTGCAAACAAATATGATTACTGTCCAGTAATGAATAAATCAGCTCATTTATTTATCCCTTTAATTAATTCAGTCAAGAATAGTAATTATTTCACAATACAATTAAACAACATAATGGGTTTAAATGCAATACATCTTAAGCAGTAATTTACCTAATGAATGTCTATATTATTTAATAGAATATATGAAGGCTTACCACTAAACTCTGTCCTGAGTTTTTCAAATAATCAGAGCTCATTTTCTCACGTCCAGATTTTTGACAAACTGCTGATTTTGGTCTAGATGCCTAAAAACATTCAACAATGTAACAACTATTCAATTTCACCTTAGTTCCATTTACAAAGTTACAAATATTACTACTGACTGGATAATTTATTAATTATTTATATATAGTTTCATATTGTGAATTTTAAAAATTGAGAGATTTCATTACAAATTAAAATCAACTGTAGTTTATTTTATGAAAGTATTAGACAGTTATTGTCCTTTTCTTCTGAAACACTTCAATATTAATGGGTGTTGTACAAGACTTGGAGAATCCGTTGGAAATTTATTGAGTTTTGAATTGTTAGACTGAATTTTTTGAATTCATAACTTCCCTTTAAGTGTTACTATCCCCATAAAGCATGTAGTTTAGTTTTACACTTATTTTTAGATAGCAAACTTCAAGTTAATTAAAAATAAGTTCAAATGTTCCAAAATTGAATTTAATAAAATCATCAATTATTGAAAATTGATCAAAAATCTCAAAGAACAAAAGAAACAAAACATCAAACAACTGCTTATGAACATTCCATATTTTCTTACCATTTCAAATTCTGAAAAAAGAAATTTGCAACATTACCAGATATTCACATAAAAACTTTCAATTCATATGAATATATATATCAATAATGAGATGAATAAAATTAACTAAGAAATGCGATTGTATAGCTCTAAGGTGCAGAATTGTGTGAAAGTGAATTTCTTTCGTTGAAATGTTTTAATTTTCCTATAATAAACAAGTTGTTTAGTGAATATTTGTTAACATTAACATTATTTCAGTGATGGATAAGTTTATTTTACAGTCAACAGTTAGTTACTTTTGAAATAGGACAAATTAAATTAATGCAGTGTGTCTCTTTAAAAACTGAGTTGCTAGTTATTGTACAGGTCTAGAAAAACTATCAGTTGCATCAAACGCACGTCTTTACGACTTTGAATCATTCTGAGCGTGTTGATCTGTTATTATTTAGCTACTGACCGGTGATAGTTGTATTCTTGTGTTTTGATTAGTAAAGTGATGAAACTGAGCTACTAATGTAAATAGTTATAACTATCCACGAGCATGTAACCCATAGTTTGATCACCACGCCAAATTATCCTACTTACTAACTTGCTTCTTTGCTTTATTGCCAAAATGAAAACTAATTATAAAGGGTAGTACTAGTACAGAAGTGAAACGAATAAACATGAAATGAAGAGGCAGCTAAAAGGCCTTATATCTCAAAGGTTGTACGGATATTTTGAACAGTAAAAATGCAGAGAGGACAATTGTATTTCTGCAAACAAGTAACAAGATGAAAGAGGTAAGGGCGATGTTAATCATAAATTTTTCAAATCAAGTCCTAATCATCTCATTTCACGTATCTATTAAACACAATGCATTTTCAAAATATAAAAATATTTTTTTATCTAAGTATATGGTGTCATATTTTTGAAAACAACAAACTAATTATATTGTAAAGTGTGCCTATTAAACAGAAAAATGTAACAGTTGAATTCTATGAGACCAAATTAGAAAGGAATAAAAGATTTTGAATTTATAATTATTAATAAAAAAATCAATGATTGAAACTAATTAAAATAACAATTAGTGCTTACCTGACCAAAAAGAACAAAGTTTTGTAGATTTCTTGATAAAGAGCCAACTGATGATGTATAATCGATTTTATCCTGCTGATATTTTCTTTGCATTAATTCAATCCGTCTAAGTTCCTGTGGAAAAAAAGGAGGATTTAAAATTGACTTCTTAGATAAAAATGAATATATACAGTTACAAAAGGAATAGTCAATAAGTTTGAGTCAATACAGATTCTTTATGTTATTATACTCGGAAATTTTCTGAAAATTAAGATTCTAAAATGAAATTCGACAAGTTTCGTTACATTTCTTGGTTTTTATGAAAATATTATTCAATAGTTTTAGGTGTATTTTTTAAAACTTCGAAGGACAAGCAAGTTAAAATGTATGATATGATGGTGAACTTCTGATGTGAAATCACATAAATAGCCAATGATTTTAAGCTTCTATAATCCAGTAAGTAAATTGTTTTACAGTTTTAAGTAATCATTCAAATTACGAGGAGATTTTAATTATGGACAAATAGAAACGGATATCCGACAATCAGCGATAGATATATTGATTTTTAGCATATTTTTGTAAAAAAACGCATGACTTTTTAATGAAAAATAATGTTTTTTATTAAGGTCAATAAAAAAATCACTTTTCTACTTAAATGGATGTATTTTATAAACCTTTCGCAATTGTAAATTAACATATGTTAATTTGAATAAAAGTTCAACACTACTACATTTTTATTATTAAAAACAATTGTAGAAAATTAATCAGTTCCATACTACTTACTGTAGGTTGGAGTTTCTCAATTAGATGTGAATACGTTTTTGTTAAACTTGGTTGACAGTTGACAAAATTCTGAAATGTTCTATGAGATGGATGGAAGGTTGAATTTCTGACAGTAGGAAAATTAAAATCAACATTTATGATAAAATAACGCATTGTTGTTTCACAATCTGATTGAATAAATTTAATGATCAGATGTATAGTGCATATAAGTTACAATAATTTAGATGATGAATACCAACCAATATATATACTGAATATTTATTTACAATATATTTATGTCTCTTCAAAACTTAAATCTAGTCATAGATAACCAAAAGGATTTACCATACAGAAACAAATGCGTAAATATGACAGTGCCTAACTTTGCTAATAGCCTGATATTATAAAGCTTCAAAAAAAAACTGTGAACAACAATACTATCGCATTCTTTATGGTCATGTGAAGCGTAAACTCTATATACGAAGTTTTACATTACAAACCTGAAATTCTAAAGAACGTGATTATTGAACACACGTAGTAACGGCTGGGAATGAAAGATTTTAGAGACGACTACTTATTGTGGCTATATTTAGCTGTCTTCATCATAGATTAGATGAGATATTATTCAAGCCGGTACCGATTTCTTACAACTAATGCTGACCAGACTCAAATCTATCAGCTGTTTTTTTTTTAATTAGTGTGAAGTGAATTTACTTACATTCAACTATTGTTGTTGTTGTTGTTGTTTAAGTAGTGAATTCAATGAAATAGAAATTTATAAACAAAAACATGTGAATCATGTCATCTTCGTTCTTAAGATGATTTAATTTGTTGCTAAAAACACAGTACATTGTTGATTAATTTCGTACAGTTATGTAAATCAGTTATAACCCTCCAGGTATCTGAACTCTTTTAAACATCCAGTTGAATAAAGTCATATTTGAGAACTATAACCTAATCAGCCTTGATTAAGAATACATCTTACAACTAGCAAAGTCAAGTCTCTTATAAATTGTTAATTCATTTTGACTGTAGGTAACTATAGTAACAAGAATGTACGGTGAGTAATTGATACATTTTCTGTACAATTTAGTATTTTATGTCTTGTTTTAATTCTTCATCATAATTCTATTATACAACTTGATTTTTCCTACTTCATATCTGATTTTATGATTGGATCTTGTTGAAGTTCTAGCCCATTTGAGATTAAACGTTTTCACCGAACTATTTTAAATTTGAATCCATCGTTGCAGTAATCACGGATTCGAATAACTTGTGGACGTAGTTTATCAACGCGTCACTGCAAAGATTGAAAGATGAATTAGAATACTTTGACGATTTTCACTTCATTTCATAATTGCCATCGGTTGAGAAGACTATGGTTTGTCAAAAAATCCTGCATATCCTGACAAACTCATTTTAATTCCGTTCAACAAACTAAAGATATCACTAACAGACCTTTTTAATGTAGTATCATTCGAAACACATGAAGAAGTACAATTCGACAAATTAGTTTAGACTAGCAGAGATTTGAAACACAAGCCTCCATGTGAAATTTTTGTGAACAACTGAATGTTAAATTTAATGACTTCCTGATTATTGGTATGGCGAAATAACTACCACGGCTTTTAAAGATACAAATTCTCAACGTTTTATGTAGGATATTGCATAAATTTGTCAGAATGTTGCTATTCTTGATGGTGTTGAATTGTGCCAACCTGATATCTTAGTTCATACTATGAATATCGACTTGCATAATGAACGTCTCTTAAAGTTATTTGGACGCTTTTATGATACAAGTGCCGTGAATTCGTTCAAGTGTCACTTTTAACTTGATTCTATCTGCACCATAGGCTACACCGTAATTGCCAGGGATTTTAAGGTGATTTAAATCGCCTAACCCCATTGATCCAAGAACCACCACTTACAAATACACCAACACTCAAACCACAGATTTCTGATCTTTAATCTTATTCCAGGTTTATCTTTAACTTTACACAAATACTATCTTCATTTTCGACTGGGTTTGTGGTGAACTGCTTGCATTTCAGTAACGACATAAGTTTATGCTAAAAACATTCTACATTTCTTAAATAGCAAGCTATTCTTCAAACTATTTTTGCCACCTTAAAAATCTAACCTTACTAAACGTGCATTTCTACTGAATCTAGGAGCGATTCCAAAGTGGGATGAGAAATATGCTGTATTTTTCGAGGTGATAAGACAACAGATAAATAGATGTTTTCGGATCAAAAACATGCCTTAGTTGTTGTATCTGACCATCATGTGCTAAAGTTTGTATACCATCCAAGTAAGTCACATCATCGATCACCAGCTGCGATTATCCAGATATGGAACTTAGAATAAAGTGCTTGCTGTTTCTCTGTGGAGCACTGAATGACCAAGAGCATACCACACGCAGATTTTATAGCTTGTTACTCACATCTCAAAAGTCCGCCTAACGAAAGTGATTGTATTTAAGTACAACCATTCCCAGCTGATGTGTTTGAACTTGTTGAGAGCACTTTGAAGTACTTTTGTAGTTTTATAAGAGGTAGACGTAGATTCTCTGAGATTTACAAATGGAGATGAGAAATAGCACCACGTTCCAAATGATTTTTGTGTCTGATTAATAGAATAACTGTTACTGTAACACTGGCCTGCAGTACTGGGTGATCTTTATTTGGTCTTATTGAGAGCAGAAGCATCAAATAACTTGCTCTTCAGAAATCTTATTGGCTGAGATTGATGCTGATGTAAGTCGAAAATCATAAAACTCTTCTGCTTGTTTACCCTGACCGTCGTATAATAGGCCTACTTGGAATCCCTAGCCTTTGTCCAATATGTCAGACGACGTATTCATTAGGACTAATGTGGCCCATTTTTAAACTTGTATGATGCTTTGTTTGTTATTGATTCATATTCCAAATGGCCGAAAGTGGAACTTAAGAACAGTCCTAATGGCAACTTAACTCAACGAGGAATGAGGAAGATATATAGTCAGTGCAATATTAACGGATAACGAGACTCATTTCACAGAGAAGGATTGTCACAGCTGGCTTACTGATAACAGGTGCCTTCATCTTTTTACGGATCCACGATGGTCTCGGTCTATTGGTCTAGCATAAAATTCAAGCAGTGCTATAACATCAGTGAATCCAAGTAATCTAAATGGGCTAGAAAAATTAATTGCTATTTTATTACTTCAAAAGTGTGATTTAGAAAGGTCAAGAACTTATGACGATCCAACCAAACCCTTTAAAAATAGCAAACTTTGGATGCATTTATGGATTAAAACATTACAAGAAGTAGTTTTACGAAAGTAATTACTGCCGACCATCAATGAGGATCACAATTCAGAGGATGAGTGGTTGGATGGGAAAGATTCTTGATTTAAATAACCACCTGGGTCACAGTAGACATATAGATCAAGCGAAGACTAATAAAGTAAGTGATTCTAATCCTACTTATCATCGTTCTGTAACTAAAGCTAATTTAGTGGATAATTCTGGAATTACAGAAAAATTTCCGATTTTAATTTTGATTATTACCGCACTAAGAATAAATCTGTAGACAGTTTCAAAGTTCAGATCAATAAGGAAGAAGAAAATGATAATCTCAAACAAACCATTAGTTTGAACAATAAAACTGTTTGTATCTGCTTCAAAAACTGTCTTAATTATTTTATGGCATAACCTACATCTCAAATGTCAGTATACCTCCCGCCCGTAACGTCTGCTTCATCTAAAATCACACAGCATGAATCTAAAAAATTCATGCCCAGGTAATGTATAAAGATTACTAGGCAATGACTTTGAAAGGCTCAAAAATGCATCCGATAGTGACTAATGTTAAGTAATACATCCATGTTTTATAAATGATGTTGATAATCTCTCTGCTCAGTTCAAAAACTCGAGGACCGAAATCTTTCAGACGCTTCTTAAAATTGGGTAGTTATGGACAATAAAGGACCCAGTGTGAACAACGATCCTAATTTAATTCCAGTCGTTATATAACCAGCCTAATTATTACAAAACAATTAGCAAGTATGCATATCCTCAGTTGTCTCACCTTCCTGTTTCTGAAGTCCAATTTTCATCTAAAGTCTCACAGTTATTTGAATAAATTCTCAAGACTCACCATCCATCATATGAGTTCGGCCAAACGGAGAGTTGCTGAGTCCATCTTTAGAATTGGACTGAACTAAATTCCACCTTTCTAATCTCGCTTTTAAAAGCTTATCTGAACATAATGAAATATATATTACTGAAATACTTCTTCTTTGTTCTTCACTTCTTATGTACAATTCCTCGATTTTGCTTGGCGGAAGTTTTTTAAAACGTTCCAGGAACTCAGCTCTGCTTTTATGCAAAAGATCAACAGGCTGAAAACAAGTTAAAATTTTAAATACATATATTACAGGTATCCCTAAATTTGCGCATGCTTCTAGTGATCTCGGACTGGTTAGAACGTATTTAGAGTCTCTAAACCGGGGATCTTCAAAGTTTTCTAGGTCTATTCGAGGAATTTCGTCATTGTTTGACACCATTTTTGAATCAAACGAAATAACTAGACAATGTGCACTGAATACAACCTATCAACGATGGACCATTTTTCATATGTAATACTCCAAAATTAGTTTCCGCGTCCGTGGCAACCAAGTCAAAAGGAGTCAGTGACCTTACCTATCTACAACATTCAATATCCTTTACACGAGCACGCATAAGCCAATCGATTTCTTTGGGCTTGATTCTTGTTCGCTCAGTACGGTTCCAGGTGTTTGATAGTATCCAATGAATGAGTACGTTTTTTTCAGGGCAATGGGGGTCCCGGATACCAGCAGCCATCACGTTACCAGGTTGGAGATCAGTTAGTTGGAGAATTATAAGGAGAACAGTCTGATGCTAATAAGAAGTATATTTCAGAACTAAGTAAATAAGTGGATAGTTTAGTTTGATAATTGGTTCTGAAGATTGTGTGAGAGGAGTAAACTGTAAGCAAAGGAGAGCAAGCAGAAATAATAGGCCAGATATATTAGGTTAATGATCGAAGGAGATGGAAACAATAACAACTACTAGATCTCAAGACAAGCATCAGGCACAGCTTGTGCACGAGGGAGACGACGATCCGCATGTGAGCACTTGTTTTTCAATTCACTTCTCAATGCAGTCCCCTGCGGAGGCTGTGGTCACCTCGGCTTGGAGAGCATTCTAAGTTGCAACAACTCTTAGTGAGAAAAAGTGTGCATGAACCTCAGTGTTTTCTCTTTTTTTGTGCAATTTTTTGAAGATTGCCTTGAGGGAACTGGTGATGACTCTTCGGTAGTATGCTCATGTTGGGATGATTTGGCGTGCTTAATATGTTGTAGGCCATAATCAGATCACCACTGACTGTTTTTTAATTCAGGCAGAATAATCCCAATTTCTGAATTCTATCTTGGTAAATTTTGTTCGCCAACAATATCACAGATCTTTTGCTAGTCTCTCTACTCGATCCAAGATATTAATGTCTCGTTAAAGAAGAAGGGGTGTGATGACGTTGTTAACCTCAAGGTACTGACGCCCGTATGTCCTTAACAACGTCAAGAATAATTCTCCGCATTAAGTGAAGAGTTGCATTTGCCTTGGCCGAGTCCCCTATATAGTTCGAATTAGGGTAAAGGCGTTCAGTGGTAACCAAACCGAAATCGCGCTCTGAAGAGTCATTAGGGATTGGACTTCGATGTCTTTTTTTGACTTGGTTGCCACGGACGCGGAAACTAATTTTGGAGTATTACATATGAAAAATGGTCCATCGTTGATAGGTTATATTCAGTGCACATTGTCTAGTTATTTCGTTTGATTCAAAAATGGTGTCAAACAATGACGAAATTCCTCGAATAGATCTAGAAAACTTTGAAGATCCCCGGTTTAGAGACTCTAAATACGTTCTAACCAGTCCGAGATCACTAGAAGCATGCTCAAATTTAGGGATACCTGTAATATATGTATTTAAAATTTTAACTTGTTTTCAGCCTGTTGATCTTTTGCATAAAAGCAGAGCTGAGTTCCTGGAACGTTTTAAAAAACTTCCGCCAAGCAAAATCGAGGAATTGTACATAAGAAGTGAAGAACAAAGAAGAAGTATTTCAGTAATATATATTTCATTATGTTCAGATAAGCTTTTAAAAGCGAGATTAGAAAGGTGGAATTTAGTTCAGTCCAATTCTAAAGATGGACTCAGCAACTCTCCGTTTGGCCGAACTCATATGATGGATGGTGAGTCTTGAGAATTTATTCAAATAACTGTGAGACTTTAGATGAAAATTGGACTTCAGAAACAGGAAGGTGAGACAACTGAGGATATGCATACTTGCTAATTGTTTTGTAATAATTAGGCTGGTTATATAACGACTGGAATTAAATTAGGATCGTTTTTCACACTGGGTCGTTTATTGTCCATAACTACCCAATTTTAAGAAGCATCTGAAAGATTTCGGTCCTCGAGTTTTCTAACTGAGCAGAGAGATTATCAACATCATTTATAAAACATGGATGTATTACATAACATTAGTCACTATCGGATGCATTTTTGAGCCTTTCAAAGTCATTGCCTAGTAATCTTTATACCTGGGCATGAATTTTTTAGATTCATGCTGTGTGATTTTAGATGAAGCAGACGTTACGGGCGGGAGGTATACTGACATTTGAGATGTAGGTTATGCCATAAAATAATTAAGACAGTTTTTGAAGCAGATACAAACAGTTTTATTGTTCAAACTAATGGTTTGTTTGAGATTATCATTTTCTTCTTCCTTATTGATCTGAACTTTGAAACTGTCTACAGATTTATTCTTAGTGCGGTAATAATCAAAATTAAAATCGGAAATTTTTCTGTAATTCCAGAATTATCCACTAAATTAGCTTTAGTTACAGAACGATGATAAGTAGGATTAGAATCACTTACTTTATTAGTCTTCGCTTGATCTATATGTCTACTGTGACCCAGGTGGTTATTTAAATCAAGAATCTTTCCCATCCAACCACTCATCCTCTGAATTGTGATCCCCATTGTTACGCCTAATCAGCACCTCTTATTTAACTTTTGACTGCACATTGAGTGAAAAAGGAGCTTATCATTTTATGCATGGTGGCCTGTCACTACGCTTTTATGTAGTGATCAGTTGATGAGCATTCAGAGAAGTAAGAGAATATACATGTCCAGGAGCCACTTTCTAAAACGTAACGATTGAGCTCTAGTTACACAAGATGGATATCCACTTAGTGATTAAGCTGAAACATTCCGCCAAACGACCGTAGCTAGCTACTCAAAAGTCAGCAAAGATAACCGATGGATTCGCTGCACTAAGATATACCTCAGAATTATACGATCTGGGAACTTTGCATTACGGCTGTCATTTCTGCATGAAAACAGTAACCCTAACCCCTGGTTCTAATCCTAGTGTATACTACAGTAATGACATGTGGATCAGTACCAACGTCAGAGAGAAAGCCGTAAGCACACTCGGACGTATGACACTGAGAATCGAGATACAAAAAGTGTTGTAGTGGTATACTTTTACGAAGAAAAACACAATCGTCAAAATATAAACACTTATTATTGTACTTAATTCTGACAATAATTGTTATATTGTACACCTTTTGTTTATCTACACAAAAGCGTTATTGCCATTCTCTTCCTTCACGCGTCTCCTGCCTGGACGTTAGCCCTGTGGCCTCGATATTACTTCGATATCACGAGGCTAGAATTAAATATACTGCTTCATCTAGAATCGTCTTTTATCTGATTACTAGATTAACGGGATAAACATTTGTTATCCCGTAAAGCAGTATTATACATTGCTTCGCTATAGTGTAAAAAGAGGATATCACTATATGCAAACCTCATACTTAGTTATAAAACAATATGATGTTATTCATTAATTAAAACAGACTGTTCTCAGACATCATTAGTGAACATAAAAGAAGCATAACTCCAATAGCTAACTAATTTTCAAGGGATATCGATAACATAGAAACGGGCATTTTGCAGATGACTAGAAGAAAAAAGTGCATCCAAAATTTCTGGTCGCGCTTGCCTATCGTGATGATCCAACCGAGCTATACTGACTGGAACATATGTTCCTGAAGGTTCTACCATGCCAGGCAGGTCGATTGGAGAACGATGAGACTAAAAGCAGCTACCCAAGGTCTGAGGGCGAAGTCTTACTGCTGACTGCAGAGGGGTGTGACAGCAGTAAGGTGTTTCCCTCGGATAACCAGCATCTGCAGCGATGCTGCCTTCTCACAAGGAAGGAAGGGTTAGTAGAAAAGGTCGACCCTAAAAATGTCACGCCTCACCCTACCTCACGGATTTCCGTCTCCCTGGGTAAGGGTGCCCACTAAGGGCCTTTAAGAACGGAGCTAATGCTCAAAAAACCCCTCATAAAAAGGCCGTGCATGACCGGCCTCAAGCAGTTGTCCCTTGGGCTCTGCGGTCACGCTCCCAGGTCTCCAAGACCAACACTAATCTATCTTCCTTTTCAGGTCCCTCAAGAAACAACCTTCCACGGTGTGGGCAGCCGAGAAGTGACAACCGCCCTCATACCCCTAACAGCACACGAGATCAAATTGGTCAAAATCAAATCCTTCCAACACCACCTAGTAACTCTCTTATCTCCACGACTTACTCTTCTCACATTCCTTTATCACACTGCACAGCTAATGCAAACAATACGAGTTCACGAATTGTCATTTCTCGTCTCCTGAAACCCCTGCTGTGGAAACAGCAGTGATGTCTGCTAACAAGGTAAACCATAAGGCTATGGTGAAGCCATAGATTTAAGTCGCATCCACCGAACTGATGGACGCATCCCACCTGATTCTGAAAATGATGAAGAGCGTAGTCAGCTTAGGCGCAAACTGATAAAAAGCCTACGCAACGCCCGTGAACAGTGGTGGGTGGCGAAAGCAAAAGCGATGGAAAAGGCAGTGGCGATAGGCAACACTAGACAACTTTTCCGCCTTATCAAAGAAACCGTTATTAGGAACCCGAATGTGAGTGAGACTATCTCGGAAAAGGATGGCTGAATCATTCATTGCTTTTGCCAATTTACGCCGTTTATGGCGTAGGCGAGATATCCGTTCGCTAACCAAAGGACGCGTGTACTGCGCAGCAGTTTGCTCCGTTCTCCTATATGGATGCGAAACATGGCAGCTAAGAGTAGATGTTCATAGGTTACTAGTATTCGATCATAGATGTCTTAGAAGCATTGCTCGTATATCGTGGGACCTGAAGATACATTTTTTCAAATCTTGTTATGATGAATAGGTCCTTACGAGTCCAGCCACAGCCAAAGTAGTCTAATCACAAGACATTACCTATAAATTTGAGTTGAATATTTTTACTTAAGTATAAAAACATAGAAATCCGAAAATATGTGCTAACCACGAAGCCTAAAACACGATCTAGTAGATACGAAATAATGTTTTTTTTATTATTTACGGATTCTAGTGGCCTAAAGAAATATATGACATCAAATTTTTACCAAAACTATAATAAAAGTATTGAAACACTGAAATTTTGACTGTTCCAATTGATCTTCAACATAATTCTCTTTGTAGGAAACCTTAGTGTGAAAATGTTCTTAGTCAACTTATTTGCCTGTGATTTCAATTCTGTCTATGAAAAATTTGTTACACCATAAAATGCCTATTACACAGATTGCACGAGCCAAGATTATTGTTCATCGGAGTAAAAAAAAAGTAAGACGTAACTGCTTAAAAATATCACAAATTTTTAACCTATTTTAAAAAATTAGATTTACTCAATATATATTTATATTCATTTCAATAGTGAAAAAACATCAAACCGAAAGGATTTTATACAAAGATTTAGATATCGTCATCGCTAGAAGGTAATTCACCTTCTTCCATACTTTCATTATCGTTAGTTGATTTTTTAAATTGATTTGTACACATTGTATCTATTGTAATTACAGGAGAAGAAGGTTGTGAAATTTCACCTTCCGAAAGAACTGGTTCTTGAGAACTGTGCATATCTAGCGGAGGACAATCGGAATCCATCGATTTCACTGGATTACTTGGAATTTCACATACAATGTCAGACACTTCATGTTTTCTTACACGACGTGAATTTCTGCGAGCTCTGCATAAAACAAAAATTCATCCTTAATTAAAAGTAAGTAAACGCGTGTATTTACTCTTAAAATTTACAAAATTACATATAAATCACACAAACAACGGATTATCATTATTTAAACGAATGAAATTTACAACTGATTCAGGAATCTTTCAATGTGAAATCAGTTAAAATTATCAAGTTACCTTTTTATCATAAATAAAATGAAAACTAAAAAAAAAATTGGTTTATGTGAAACGGTGGCATTTACACAGTCTATTAATTAAATGAGTAATAAGACTGTTGAACATAGAAAAAACTCCGTAACATAAAGAAGAATATTGTTTTTGTGGATGTTTTTGATAGATACTTATAGCACCAAGCGTGCCTACATGATATTAACATCAACTTTCTATATGACTGACTAATTATATCATGAATGAATATGAAACAATGGATAACCCATTTTGATCACAGTTAAAGAGAATAGACAAAAAAAAGGAATTATGTATATCGAAAAATAAAATCCTTATTTCGTCAGGATTTAGTTAACTGTATGATTAGAAAGTTTCAAGAAGAATAAATAAACTATTCTGAAGATTTCGATGACTAAAAGTTGAGAAAGTTGAAGAGACTGAACAATATTTGCAGAGATTAAAACAGAAAAGAACAAAATTTAATTATGTTAAGAAACACCCACGATTGAGAAGGGAAATTCTTGTGAGTCGGTGCAAGCAGATAAACAACAACTACTACTGTTAATGTCGAAATAAAAGATCATGTCGCCTTACATTTATAAAGACAAAAAGAACAGGTTCTTTAACTACACTGAGGCCCATGTGAACGGGGAATTCATTTATGGAAGCAATTGTATTTTGCAGTTCGATTAATGATAAGTCTGGTAATATTGGCTCCAGGATCGGCGACTTCTTAGTTACCAAATGAAACCATGACTCATGAATAACAAGCAAGACGTTGACGCTTACTGGTCTTTGAACTCCCACAACGTCAGTGTTTAGTTAGAAGACGGAGTTAGACATGTGACATGACTCGAATAAAATATCACATTAAGTATAAACCCAAACCACAGATTTTCTCCTAAATGATATATTGTAGCTGAAATCATACGAATACTATTAGGCTTAAATTTAAACACCAGTACAACTTCACTTAGAGCTTCATACTAATACTAAAAATACATTTTTATAACTGTAGAATGCTTAATGAATATTCTACTATGTAAAGCTAGATTACCCTGAGTTTTGGGGAATTCATATAGTTTCATTTGTTGTGAGACACATTGAAAATTTAGAAAATATTCACTTAAAATTCTCAGATGAATATACTCAAACAATTTTTCAGCTTCATAGAACACACCCTGTTAATAAACTGGAAGAATATTTTAAAACTTAAATGAACAATAAATGAAAAAAAGCTTTAATGTGAACTGAGTAAGCTAAATAATTCTAGTCTAAATACCTTTTCAATTTATCTTTCATTTGTCTATCAATTAGAAAGATTGACTTCTTTTCTTCTTTCTTTACTGAATAAGAATGTTTGATTAGATTCAAGTAAACACCACCAGGTGATCGTCTGCGAGATCCATCCTAATGAAATCATTTGAAAAAAAAAAGTATACTGTAAGATACGAAAGGATAAATATACTTTGTGAAATAAAACAAGTTTTCAAGTTGTTATGCAGCGGATTATAGGATGTATAAAATTCGAGTTTTTTTTTCATCTGGTAAGAGCACGGGTTAAGAGACAGACTAAGTAACTTGTAACATCTTAATAGCCAGAGCATCCTCTGATTCCTTAATAAATTATATAACTCAATAATCACCGGACAATTTGTGTGAAGGTGTTTACATAGTACATTAGTTAAACTATCTTTTGAGGTGCTCCACCTAGCAATCAAGCGACTTTATAGAAAGTATAATTTAGAGCAAGCTTCTTAGTTCAAGCAGCTCGGATCAGTTGAGATACCTGTAAGTTACCGGATATACCAGCTGCTTTTATACTGGCAGCGCATTTTGAATATTAGGATTCGTCACGCTCAAGGAAACAGCACGAAACTCGAGCATAGATAACTTGCACGCATTGCTGTATTCTGATTCTATCGGAATAAACCTATTAGTATCAATGATTTGAAAAAAATTCCAATTGTTAATTTTGGTTCTAATCACCATGTTATTAGCACTAGTCAACAAGAAAAACATGGGAAAATTTGTCTAAGTTTGATATAAACAGCAAACTAGTTGTTTTTTTTCAACTCTTGACTACGCAACATTCAGTTTAATGATGCAGCATCCGGTGGATATACTAATTTGAAAACATAAACGTTTTAAAGATTCAGGGATTTAATAAACTAATATGATGGCTAATGCGGATAGTGCACGATCCCTGTTAACTTGGTTTGTTATCAACTAAGAGCCGTTTACTAAATATATCTCAATATAAGATCTGAAGGTTTATCAAGATCAGAAAATATTTTTCAGCTAGTAAATGGATAAATAAATCTATATTTTGAAAATGATCAATACAAATTACAAACATTCAGTGTAATTAGATTACAATTGATACGTAGATAAAAGTGCAGCTTGACAAACAATGGTCAATGCAATTTGACTAAATGCTTTTGATGATATACAATAACTGAACCAGCGTAAAACTTTTATGATTAAATGCAAAATACGTGAACAAAAAACTTCAAGGAAGTTAAATTCCGCCTGTAAACGCTTCTTGGCTACTGCCGGTCCTAAGCTCGAATAAAGGAGGAGGGTTGGGATTTAAGTTAGCGACCCCATCCTGGAAAAAACTAACTTGCCAAAAAAATCGCTAACGAGAAAAAAAAGTTCAAACCATATTAACTCTACCCTGGGAGTTAGGTCTTCATGTAGAAGAATTATGACATCTCACGATGAAAGCTGAGTTCCATCGGAAGCCATGAGGCCGATTCTCCTTCTGACAACCAAAACCCTTACACTGTGTGGGTAGCTGGGAAGTAACATCCCCCCTCATACCCATAAAAGCACATGAGACTAAATTGACCACAATCAAATCCTTTCTATCCCTCCTAATAACTCTCTTATCTCTTCGACCAACCCTTCTTCCGATCGCTGCTTCTTTGTCATATCTGCCTACGCTTCAACTGAATGCAGTTCAGACGACGTGAAAGATGAGTTTTACAGCAACCTCTCTAAACTTTTTCAAAACGTTAAGCGCTCTGATATAGTAATAGTGGCTGGTGACATCAATGCTCAAGTAGGTAGACTAGGTGAAAAGGAAAGACATCTGGATGGATCTTATGGTGTCGCGGCTAATAGAACAGATAATGGCGAACGTCTGCTGCAACTATGTTCAGATAATTGCCTATTTCTAACAAACACTAACTGCAAGCATAAGGTAAGACGCCTTTTGATTTGGCGACCCCCAAAGACGACCCGACAATGGACCCAACTAGATCACATCGCTATAAGCCATCGGTGGAAAGGCTTTGTTGAAGACTGCTGCCCATTCCAAAGCCCTTGTTTAAACTCAGACCATGCTCTAGTGCGAGCGCGTATTTGTCTGCGTCTCACTGGACGTAAGAAAAATATCGAAAGGAAACCTCTTAGAGCTCTACTTAACGATAATAAAGCTAAGAATATATTTCAGGAACAGCCAGAAAAAAAGTTAGGCGGCCAAGTAGTAAGTGATGCCCACCACGAGGCAGCTTGGAATGATATCAAGAAGGCTGTGGAAACAGCAGTGATATCTTCTAGTAAGATAAACAATAAGGTTAGGGAGAAGCAGTGGATTTCGGTAGAATCTACCGAACTGATGGATGCTAGGAATTTTATCCCGCCTGGCTCTGAGTGCGATGAGGAGCGCAGTCAGCATAGGCGCAGGCTGATAAAGAGCCGATGCAATGATCGCGAACAGTGGTGAGTAGCGAAAGCGAAAGAGATGAAAAAGGCAACGGCGATAGGCAACAGTAGACTACTATTCAGACTCATCAAGGAAACCGGTATTAGGAATCCGACTGTAAATAAGACTATCTCAGAAAAGGATGGTCTTATTATTCATTCTCAATCCAGGAGATTGGATCGATGGACAGAACACTTCAGGGGTCAGTTTAATTGGCCTTCAGCCACATTTCAGTTGCCTACGATCTCCAGTCATCCTGAATGGCTAATCGATGTAAGTCCTCCCACTCATTTTGAAGTTGAGAAAGAGATAGGAAATCTGAAGCGAGGGCGAGCTGCAGGTCCTGATAGACTGACCCCTAAGATATTTAAGGATAGTGGTCCTGTTTTAGCAGCTAGGTTGACTGAGATCTTAGTTAGAATTTGAGAACTAGACGTAATCCCATCCGACTGGTCTCACTCCCTTATTGTCCCAGTCTACAAGAAAGGACAAAAGTCCTCTTGTGACAATCAAAGGGGAATAAGTCTAACTAATATAGTTTCTTAATTGTTAGCCTCCATTATACTTAGACGTCTAACTAAATCTCGTGAAGAGCAGACTAGAGAAAACTAGGTTGATTTTCGACCTGGACGTGGCTGTATAGACCACATTCTCACACTACGACAGGTCCTGGAACACAAACACACATTTAGACGTCCGACAATAGTCGCGTTCCTGGACCTAAAAGCGGCATTTGACTCAGTGGATCGTGAGGTTCTGTGGCAGTGTCTGTCATTGAAAGGTGTACCAAAGAAGTACATTAACCTTATACAAGCTCTCTACTCGAACACCATTGGTTGAGTGAGAGCTTATGGCGAACTGTCATCGGAATTCTTTACTTCAAGTGGTGTCCGTCAGGGATGTCCACTCTCTACATTCTTGTTTAATTTTATCATAGACATGCTCTTAGAAATAACGTTATCCTCGTCTGCATTTTCAGTAGACGTTCTACCAGGTGGCTCGCTTATTAACTTAGAATATGCCGATGACATAGTTCTATTCGGTGAAGACGCTGACTAAATACAGAGTCTTCTAACCACCCTAAGCAACAATGCAAGCATGTTCGGGATGCGGTTCTCACCCTCGAAATGCAAAATGTTGCTTCAAGATTGGGTTGCATCGGCACCTGAATTAGTGATAGGGAGTGAAGTAGTCGAACGTGTAGACCGCTTCACATATCTCAGCAGTCTCATCAGTGCTGATGGTCTGGTGACTGACGAAATCTCAGAACGGATACAGAAGGATCGATCGGCTTTTGCCAACCTGCATCACGTATGGCGTAGGCGAGATATCCGTTTGCTGACCAAAGGACGAGTGTACTGCGCATTAGTACGCTTCGACCTACTTTATGGCTGTGAAGCATGGCCAGTCAGAGTAGAAGATATTCGTAGGTTACTGGTTTCCGGTCATAGGTGTCTTCGAAGCATTGCTGGTATATCGTGGGACAACCGAGTAAGCAATGCTGTCGTTAGGAAACGAGTACTAGGTAAGGATGGCAGATCAATCGATGAAGTGGTGAAACTTCATCAGTTGAGGTGGTTGGGACATATCTTGCGTATGCCGAACCACCGACTGCCTCAACGAGCTATGTTTTGTGGTGTAGGAGTAGGTTGGAAGAAAGCTAGGGGCGGCCAGACCAAAACATGGCAGAAATGCATGAAGTCACCGACAAATGGACTGAGTCATGTTGGTAGATGTAGGCTACCTGGTTGGGGTCCTCGAGATGTTAGTAATCGATGATTAGAGACCCTGAATGAAATAGCTCAAAACCGTTTGCAATGGCGCAGGTGCACTCATTCTTTGTGTTCACTCAAATCCTTAACTTCTTAATCCCTCATCACTTGTTTTTCTTTTTGAGCTTATTTCACTAGATTCTACTTCTTGAATAATATCTTCAAACCCTGAAATTTCCGATTACTGCTAACACCTTTACCAGCTCGACTACCAAGGGATTTGAATTGACAATTACACCTCTGTGCTCATGTGGTATGGCAACTTGAACTGATGTACGTACGTACGTACGAAGTTCTATGTTGCTAAGGATGATGATGATTGAGGAATTTAAAATTATTAGTTATTTACAAGTAATATGATCAGAAAAACCATGTATAATTGTTGTAACTATCAGCTAAATGAACGCTTTGCTGACGTGCAAATTAACTATTTATGTAGCGAGTTACAATGCCCATCAGACTTAGATATTCGTAATAGAATTTTAAGCAGAATAGAACCAGGCCCCAATCTTACATTTGAATTTATTACTAGTGAATGTCGTAGAATTGTTTATCTTAAAAATGATACTAAGATGATCGAATGTTTAAATTCTAATCACATACCTTGTTCTATAGATCCTAAGTCATGTGATTCTATGAAAACGTCGCGTTTAAATCGAGCTAATAATGTCCCAAGGCATGATCTGCAGAAATGCTCTCGCCAAAGTTAAAATTCTAATGTCCATGATGCATATCATTATCTAAGGCCTCTTACTAGTTGCTAGAACTGTGAGGCATGGTATTTCTTTCGTTTCTGCCCATTCAGTAAACACTAAAGCGCCTTCAGATTAAACTTAGAGGCAAGACTTATTTTTCAGGAGGCAAAGGTGGCATAATCAGCCAATTAGAAATTGTTTACCAAGAAGACCATTTGATGACCATCAGAAAATGTCCTAAAGGACAAATACATATCAGTGGTTAAGAAATGGCTTTATTTTCGATAGTGAAATATATATATATATATATATATATACATATATATATATATATATATATATATATATATATATATACAGAGAGAGAAGGGTATTTGCACACATCATTCGGTAGCGATATAGACTTTGTCTTCTGCCCTTGCCTTCTTACTCAAGTAACCACTGTGCAGTTAGTACGCATCACGTCCAGATCTCAGAAGCCGAACATTATAATAGATAATATATCAGTGATCATTATTTTAAATCATTAAACTGAAATAAAACATGATATACAATATAGACTTGATAATTGCTTAGTTTTAAATACATATCTGATACAAAAAGGTTAGAGGTTGGGTAAAGACACCAGTCGGCTACTGTTCATTTGATAGTAACTGAGTTTTCAAAATGAACTTAATAGATATATTACGAATTTCTAACGAAACCATCATAAATAGACTGTATAAATAGGGTAATTGATTTCTGTTTTAATTTTTTTAAGAACTCGATAAACTCATAAATTCCGGTAGAACTCTCCAGTTAAATAATCTGTATATATTGAAAAAACATGGACTTATTGTTTTAGGATAGTTCGTTGACAATCTGCACTTACATGTGTCGATGGTGAAAGGACTAATAATGTTCGACTAATTATTATAATTGGATATTCTAATAAAAACAGAGTAATTCCCACAATATAAATTAAAGATAAGTTAAAAATACTGTGTGACCATTAAAATGTGATAAGCTAGAGAAAAAAAATATTATATGGAAACTCACCATCAAATATAGGCCTCCATTATTCTCAATATCTTCAGTAAGGTAATAAAATTCAAGGGCTCGTTGAACACCCAGAATATCAACAGTTCGCTCTACATAATGTTGTGAGAGATAGTGTAAATAAAACGTACTTATTAAATCCTCATTAGGTTCTTTTAATAAATTGATGATAGTTTCAGCAACAAGATCAGGTGGACTGTCGAAAGTAACATCTATGTGAGATCTAGATACTTCCTGGTCCCATAGAAGTGGTCCAAGCTGTTGTTTGATAGAGAGATTTGATTTTTTCAACACCCTGAGAAATATCAATTTATACATGGATTTTCAGACCTTTTAGATAATTCTGGTTGAGTACATACTTCCATAGTTTTCTGTTCATCATCAGTATCTGTATTAACCAAGTAGCTTTCAACACCCCTGCTGAAGTCACGCTTCTACAGTAAATATGCTAGATTATGTTGTTCTGGTTTACTTCATGGACATGAGCTACTGATAAAGCATCATCCAATTTGTATTCGTTAATAACATTTACCCAAACACAGTTACGATTTTTTCTAGATGGTTTTTTGAGAATATTTACACTGAAATCCTCTTTCATTGGTGACGCTCGAACATCTGATTTTCGTCGCTTCCAACAAATATCATCATTGCTACTGGATTCATCTTCAGAAGAAGAATGAAGAACTTCTCTGTACGCCATTTTATAGCTAGAAAGACAACAAACTATGAGATTGATTTATATTTGATCCAACAAAAATAACTATCCTATGAAGAATACACTAAACGATCATTAAAATGCTATTATCAACCAAAAAATATAGCGCTTCTTAATAAAACATTTAAAATAAGGTAGTACTACACTTATATGAAGGTATTCCCGACCGTAGCTGCTACCTCGACGTGGTGGTCGGGCTTGCCTATCGTGATGACCCAACCGAGCTATACTGGCTGGAACATATGTTCCTGCAGGTCCTACCATGCCAGGCAGGTCGATTGGAGAACGATGAGACTAAAAGCAGCTACCCAAGGTCTGAGGGCGAAGTCGTACTGCTGACTGCAGAGGGGTGTGACAGCAGTAAGGTGTTTCCCTCGGACAACCAGCATCTGCAGCGATGCTGCCTTCTCACAAGGAAGGAAGGGTTAGAAAAGGTCGGCCCTAAAAATGTCACACCTCCCCTACCTCACGGATTTCCGTGTACGGCGGTAAGGGTGCCCACTAAGGGCTTTCAAAGCGAAGCTAACACTCAAAAAACCTTTCATAAAAAGGCCGTGCGTGACCGGCCTCAAGCAGTTGTCCCTTGGGCTCTACATCTTGGAGCATTTAATGCACGTACATTATGTCAAATAGGGCAACAAGCTTCCTTAGCTAGGACTCTAGAATCTCGTGCCATAGATGTATGCTGTGTCTCGGAAACGCGCATACAGGATCCTAGTAAAATTATTAACCTGATTTCACCTTGTCAAAATAAAGAAGCAGCTTGATTTACTCTTCGAGTATCCGGAAGCCCTGATAATTTTTCCAGGGGTCTTGCTGGCGTAGGCATAGCATTGAGTCGTACAGCTGAATGATCTCTCCTAGACTGGATCCCAGTAGATAGTCGCCTGTGCGCTGTCCGACTAAACGGGACAGTGAGGACTCGGAAGGATAGGGACACGCGCCGTTGCCTCTTCATCATATCTGCCTATGCCCCCACTGACTGCAGTTCAGACGAGGTTAAAGACGAGTTCTACAGAAGGCTTCCGCATCTCCTCCAAAAAGTTAGGCACTCTGATGTAGTAATTATCGCTGGTGACTTTAATGCTCAGGTAGGTAAACTGAGTGAAAATGAAAGACACCTAGGTGGATGTTATGGTGTCATGGATCAGAGAAGAGACAATGGCGACCGTCTGCTGCAACTATGCTCAGATAACCGCCTATTCTTAGCAAACACTAACTTCAGGCATAAGGAAAAGCATCTCTTGACCTGGCGACCTCCAAAGTCGTCTCAACGTTGGACTCAACTAGATCACATCACCATCAGCCACCGATGGACGGGTTCGGCAGAAAACTGTCGCTCGTTGTGGGGCACATGCTTCAGTCAGTCAGTCGGTCAGATGCAACGTAGAACTTCGTACGTAAGTACATCATTTCATGTTGCCATACCATATCAGCACAGAGATATAATTGTCAATTCAAATCCAATAGTAGTAGAGGTAGTAAGGGAATTAGAAGTAATAGGAGAGGTTAGGGTTAGAAGATACTATTCAAGAAGTATGATTCAGTGAGAAAAGTTTAGAGAGTCGAAACTAGAGGTGTTGAAGAATCCAGAAGATTAGCGTTTGAGAGAACACAAAGAATAAATGCACCGGCGCCATTGCGAACGAATTTGAGCCATGTCATTCAAGGTCTCTAACCATCGATTATTATCATCTGGCGAACCCCAACCAGGTAGTCGACAATTACCGACATGGTTCAGTCCACTAGTCAATGACTTCATGGATTTCTGCCATGTTTTGGTCTGGCCGCCCCTAACTTTCTTCCAACCTACTCCTACACTACAAAACAAAGTTCGTCGAGGCAGTCGGTGGTTCGGCATACGCAACACATGTCCCAACCACCTCAACTGATGAAGTTTCACCACTTCATCGATTGATCTGCCATCCTTACCTAGTACTCGTTTCCTAACGACAGCATTGCTTACTCGGTTGTCCCACGGTATACAAGCGATGCTTCGAAGACACCTATGATCGAAAACCAGTAACCGACGAATATCTTCTACTCTCACTGCCCATGTTTCACAGCCATATAGGAGAACGGAGCGAACTACTGCACAGTACAATCGTCCTTTAGTCAACAAACGGATATCACGCCTACGCCATAAGTGACGCAGGTTGGCAAAAGCCAATCGAGCCTTCGGTATCCGAGCTGAGATTTCGTCAGTCACCAGGCCATCGGCACTGATGAGACTCCCAAGATAAGTGAAGCGGTCTACACGTTCGACTACTTCACTCCCTATCACTAGTTAAGGTGCCGATGCAACCCAGTCTTGAAGCAACATTTTGCATTTCGAGGGGGAAAACCGCATCCCGAACATGCTTGCATTGTTGCTTAGGGTGGTCAGAAGACTCTGCATTTTGTCAGCGTCTTCACCAAGTAGGACTATGTCATCGGCATATTCCAAGTCGATAAGCGACCCTCCCGGTAGGCCTACTCCTGAAAATTCAGACGAGGATAAGGTCATTTTTAAGAGCATGTCTATGATAAAATTAAACAAGAATGGAGAAAGTGGACATCCCTGACGGACACCACTTAATGTAGAGAATTCCGGTGACACTTCGCCATAATCTCTCACTCGACCAGTGGTGTTTGAGTAGAGAGCCTGTATGAGGTTAATGTACTTCTCTGGTACAACTTTCAATGACAGACACTGCCACAGAACCTCACGATCCACTGAGTCAAATGCCGCCTTAAGGTCCAGGAAAACAACTATTGTAGGACGCCTAAATGTGTGTCTGTGTTCCAGGACCTGTTGTAGTGTGAATATGTGGTCTATACAGCCACGTCCAGGTCTGAAACCGGCCTGGTTTTTTGAACCTGCTCGTTACAGGTTCCAGCTAGGCATCAAAGTATTGTCGAGGCTAACATTTTATACACTAGGTCATGGAGAATTCAGAAGATTAGAGTTTGAGAGAAGACAAGGAATGGATGCATCTGATTTTGAGCCATGTCTTTTAGAGTCTTTAGCCACCAGTTACGATTGTCTTTCGGACCCCAACCAAGTAGTCTACATTTAATAACAAATAGATTGGAAAGAATTTATTAAAATGATTTCATAGATCTTGGTGTTTTCAACATTTTATACATTCATATTAATGGGCTTTTTAGCTACTAAACGATAATAAATGTGTCTAAAGTATGTATTATGTTTAATTTAGAACTAGACTCCTAAATGGTTGTAGACTATGTTTTAAATGTGAGGCGAATTTCTAATTCAATACTAAGTAAACTAAGAGCTCCTAGAGAACCACATCCTGGTCATATAATGTTCAACAGAGTTAAGTGCCGCCTTTAGGTCAGGGAATACAGCTATAGTGGGACGTCGACATGTGTCTGTGTTCTAGGACCTGTCGAAGTGTGAATATGTGGTCTATACAACCACCTGCAGGTCTGAAACCAGCTTGGTTTTTTGAACCTGCTCTTTACAGGCTCCAGTTAGGCATCAAAGTATTGTCGAGGCTAACATTTTATACACTATATTAGTTAAACTGATCCCTCATGGATTGTAACAAGAGGACTTTTGTCCTTTTTTATAAACTGGGACAATCAGTGATTGAGACCAGTCAGATGAGATCACGTCCAGTTCCCCAATTCTACCTAAGATCTCAGTTAATCTAGCTGCTAAAACTGGACCACCATCCTTAAAAATCTCAGGGGAAAAATCTACGTTTTAGTTTCTTATTACCTAAGGTCCTGAATTTCTTGTAAAAGGTTATTAAAGTAGGTAAAGAGCATTAGACTGAGCATAAAAAGGAGTTTCTAATGAGACTTAGTAAGAAGCTCATTTAATCGGTTTTCAGTCACATTTTTTAGAATTAGTGACAGAACTCAGCTACCTGAAGAGAAGTAAATGAAATGAATTTGAAACTTGAAACTCAACGGTTAAAACTTCAGTGCTTCAACTAATGAGGCAATATTCATGTGACTTGGTAGGCGTGTGTGTCAGATCCAGTAGTGGTTAAATATTAAAAGAAATAAAAACTAAAGCGAAAAGTAAAAAGACAAATGAGATTGAAAATATGAGGTGGATAGTAATACGATTTTCTCAACTTAGAGACGGAAGGATAAGAAATGGATCTAGTTACGTAGTTATGACCAACTTTGAGTCATGCCAGTGAACCGTTAACCAATCATGATGAATTCATGCGCGTGCTACTTCATGGGTAGACAAGACTAACGGGCAAATCCCTGAAGAGACAGTACATTACAGTCTAATCAACTTTGGCTTTGATTCAACCCGCTATTACAATACCCATTATAGCGCTCCAAACTACACCGTGGTTGGTGGTGAGTAAAACTAAACCAGCCAACTCAGTTAGTTAGAGTTGACAGTCTCAACATAAATTTTTGAATTACTGCTCAGTAATTATGCGAAGGTTATAAAATGCCCTCAATCCTAAAGATAAACAGAAAAAGTACAGCTATTTTTTTGATAATGGGCTAGCTCAGATAGGTTTAGGTCTCTAATTGCTGGGTAATATATTCAACTCTCAACATATGGGTGAGACTAGTCCTAAGTGGTAACAATTGAAGAGTACTTTCGTCAAGATTTTATGGGTGGCCAACTTACTACATATGAGCTAAGCTAATAAATTATTTTTTATGTTTTATATGCTAATGAAAGTTAATATTTAAACAACGTAAGTCAGACTGGCGGGAAGTTCGTAAAAAATACGTTTGTATTTTCTCCGTATCAATAAAAATGAATATCTCAAATTTTATAGCTTATCGGGAAAACTGTTAATAAACTTCGGGGGGAGGGGTATCCTAAGACATGGGAATCATGTATCTGATTGATATACTTCCGGACAATAATGTGACAACTATACGAAGACCGGAAGCGGATACTATACTGAAAATGTAGTTTACTGAAATTCTAGCTCAGAGTAGCCTTTCATTAGACAGCCTAGAAGGAAAAATGTTAGAATCCGACTAGGAGAAAAGGTTAAATTTAGAACGGGGTGAATTATTGACCATCTCAGGAAAAAAACTTCGGAAATCTAAAACGGTTTCACTTATTGTTGCAGACTGAATGCCTATTTCTAAGCTACCTAATTTGCGATTGACTCCTACTGAAATTGGACTGAGTGCTTATTGCTACTCACACTTGAATTATTATTAAGCTAGAAGTGTCAAAATATATCACGTAACGTTACAAAAGCCAGAAAATTTACATAAATACCACAACAAGTGAGAAACTACGAACGAAGCGAGGCACTGGGCAAAGTAATAGGTCTTAACCATTCTTAAACTATTTACCTGCATAGCGGCTATGTGAGACGCTTTTGAAGCACTCATATATTGTAAATAATTCGAACTTGATGACCACAGTTATCTTAGTTATTAAGCAGTAATTGGAATACGGACGAAACGCACCTGACAAATGTAAAGACAGACAGATACAACACAGAAGTTCGTACACAAGTACATCAGTTCAGGTTGCCATACCACGTCAGCACAGAGACGTAACTGTCAGTTCAAATCCAAGAGTGATAGCGATAGTAGAATTATTAGCAACAATGGAGAAGATTAGGGAGCGAAGATATGATTCGAAAAGTATAATTCAGTGAGATAAATTTAGAAGGAGAAAGATGGAGATTATGAGGAATTCAGAACGTTACAATTAAAAATCACACAGAGTGGATGCACCTGCACCATTGCAAACGATTCTGAGCCATGTCGTTCGTCTCTAACCATTGATGACTTTCGTCTCGCGGACCCCAACCAGATAGCCTACATCTACCAACATGACTCAGTCCACTTGTCAGTGACTTCATGCATTTGTGCCATGTTTTGGTCTGACCGCCGCTAACTTTCTTCCAACCTACTCCTACACCACAAAACATAGCTTGTCGAGGCAGTCGGTGGTTAGGTATACGTAACACATGTCCCAACCACCTCAACTGATGGACAAATGTAAAGGACCCACATGGATTGCTCAAACGATACTCGTACTCGATCGACACTAAAAATTTACGAGGAATTGGATCCCTGGATCTATCCTAGTTAGCCTTAACTATTCATATTTCTAGGGCCTCATATCGAATTCGACCGACAGATGGTGTTTTTGTTTTCGTTTTTGAAGCTTCCTGAGCAAGCCTCCAAGCTGAAGCAAATGAAACTAGGATAAATGTGAACATAAGATGATAAAGTACTTAGGTTATATTGCAACTTTAAGGGCATTCACGAAAGTTTGAATGTTAGTAGTTGTCCATAATTACAGACCTTTTAGTGAACATCTAGGAAGAGATGCTAACGCCCCATATAACGTGTACCAAATTGGGTTACAGTATCAAAGAACAAACCCCATGAGGACCAACTTTTGTCACTAGACCAAAGAAGGATGAGATAACATGTTTATGGTCCATATTATTGGAATAAAGTAATTCTCTGTAAAGTCGATCACTGCATATCACGAGTTAACTCTTGAATAATCACGTACGTAAACAAAAATAACCCGTTATATGTAATTATCATTGAACACATAGACACAGGCACTCATCAGTCTTAACCTTATTACTAATGCTCAATGTATACGAATCCTCATAAATTGTCCAGTTCACCAAGCATAATACATAAGAGTGACTAAAATGGCTTCAATGGATGTCACTAGACAGATGCGACGATTCCTTAAAACTAGAACGAGAAACGGAGTGACCATATAAGAAACTGCAGAATTTGTAAGGCAAACAACGGAGTTAGTAGTGAAATAACATTGATAAATAGAGAATATAGCTTATGAGCGTTCACTTACACAGGAATATAAGTAAGCAATAAAATCAAAATCAGGCTTTGTTCTTTTACCTCCTGAAACAGCAATATTTTTATAGATAACAATTAGTAAAGTGATACTTAAGGTTACGCAAAACACTGATTTACAATCTGCTATAAATTACGACTAAGTAAGTTAGTACTTACATAGTAGCGTACCATCCGAAAGGTTGTTGTCACAAGTTTCACTATTCAATATCCAATGTCATTTTCACGAGCTAGTATCAACCAACTGATTTCTTTGCGCTCCTTTCTTAGTGTTTCGGTACGGTTCCAGGTGATATGAGTGTCCAATTAATGGGGGGTCTAGCCACTAATTCTAGTCAGTCGGCTGTTGGTTAAGAGTTTCTATGTCCGTAATTTGAATGATAACGTTTGTTTCACGGTAGTAGGGTTTCTGGATACCAGCAGCTATCACATTATCAGACAGAAGATCAGTTACTTACGACAGGGAGAATAACAAGGAGAAAACTTCAATGCTAATAAGATTCCACAACAGAGGAATTAAATGGATAGCTTAGTTTATTAATTGGTAGTGACGATTGTGTGAGAGGACTGAAGTGTAAGCAAAGGAGAGGAAACAGAGATAATAGGCTAGATAGATTAGGTTGGTGACCTGGGGAGATGGAAAAAATGACAACTAGAAAGTCTCAAAGCATGCATCAATTACAGCTTGTCCACGAGGGTTATGTTAATCAGTATGTGAGTACGTGATTATCAAGTCTCTTCTTAAAGCTGGACACTATCTTTGGAAAGATCTTGCCCTACTCTCGTATCGTCGTATTTAAGTACGACCCTAGACGCTTGTTAGCATTCAAAGTTGATAATTTGCTCACTTGACTATATTGGTCTTTCTAGATTTTACATGTGAGGGGCTAACGTTTCTTGAGTTATAGTCAATAATTCTTCCATCAGGACAATTGGGTTGCTGTCACCAGCAGCTGTCACTTTAAAGAACAAGTATACAGAATAATAAGTGACTTGTCCTACTGAAAAGTAAGCAGATATGTAGATGAAAACACTGGAGTAGAAAAGAACGAAAAGATTTGATGTAAAGAAGAGTAGGTTAATTTAATCTTGGTAAAGACGATGTCCATGGCAGATGAGGCACAAGACTTTGTTCCAACAGACCGAAGAATTTATGTCATTGCCAGATATAATTGCATTTGAAGTCGATTTCTGGTAAAAGCATTGGTCAAGCCTCCTCTAGCAATGACGTTCTTAGAGGGCTACTGTCGCATTAGCTGAGGAATATATTGCCTCTAAACGTCAGTTTGTCCAAACGAAAACATCAGTACCAACACTGCAGCTGCATTGAAAATCAATTTTTCGCATTGTGTATTTAGAAACGTGAGTTCCCTCGTTAGTTTCTGATAATTTCTCGGTGAACCAATCTGACAGTGGTCACCCACAACACTAAGGAAACCGGTAACTATCTATAACTCTGTCTTATCTTCGTTTGGATTTTTCTTACGGAACTCATCCTAACCTTGAAAGTTGTCATTATACAATCTCTCTAGATTGTGGTGGTGTTTCGTTCTCTGAGTTGGATGTTTCGGTTGTGAAGCTTTCATTGTTCTACTGAACAACATGATGTCGCTCGGTGAACGAAGCACCACCACCATCCACCTGAGCAATAAATTTTCTTCAACATCTCACTCTTTCTAGATCCCGTAAAATATCATGGTTCGTAGAACAACGACTACTCGAATCGATGTACTGAACCATTTGTTCCAACCGAAATGCGTACGCATATCAAACATATCAAGCATTATTCTTAAACCGACTGCGCCTCTGGTGCATGGTATCCAGTCAAAATTCCTGTACGACTACTTTTCAATTTCGGAAGATTCATATCACTGAAGTGTTTCTACCGTCCTAAATGCTGTTTAGTTGAGGGCTCCACACCATAAATAGGCAAGTCTTTGATCATTTAAGCCCTATTATTTTCTACACAGCCACTGTCATCCAAAAAATATCTCTAAATTTATTTACAAACATTTACGAGCATCAGTGCTATTCATGGCTATGATGTTTGTCGATATTTCCCTACCTTCCAGACCTGACTGATAAACTATCTCCTCAAGTACAGTAGGCATGTCATAATCACTGTCCAAATTGCATTAGCTTCCAAATTTCCTTTCGGTTCCTACAGCCTAACCGGAGCAGGACCTATAGGGGATGTGGATATTATTGAGTTTCATAGAAATCACAAATCGATCAATACCAGACACCATTAGAAGCCTGGAAGATCTGACTGGCCGACTCGTTCTAATGTGAGACTCTCATTCAGTGTGTATCCAAGACTTATCGAGTGAATCTGATCCGGTAACTCTGGTCTCCCACGCGAACGCTAACCACTCCTAAACCACTAGGTCGGCGTCCAATGGCGTTTATGTGTGACTTCAATCACCCCTGGAGATTACGCGAACTTGATGGGTTCCAGTTCGCAGCTAAATCCACCACATGACTACAACCACTATCATTATGTAGGATTGTATGGTTCTTAAGCTTGCAGTTCTCATCCTAACACCTAAAGTCTGAATTACATGATCTAGCCGCCTGAACTTTTCTCAGATACAAACCACGTCTTCTTAATTTCCATCTCCTATCCGCAAAATTTATTTTCGATAACTCAATGGAATCTGTCACTTTGTGAATACCTCTACTAAACTCGCGACTTCCGATTCTCCATGACTCTCTTATATTGTGCTTTATTACATTAAAACGTGATCTCCTAACCACTTGACCCAAATAATCTTTATTACTGATCTTTTCATTGCATTATACTAGCCTACTACATTATATTCAGGCAACCCTCACTCTTTATTCTACGGAAGACACCGATTCTTCAAAATCTGGTTCCGCATCATTCTTCATGATCTTATCAGCATCTCCTGTTCACTTGTTCTGTTGGAGTAACACAATTGTAACCGAATTGGCTGTAAATCTTGCATCGAACTTGTATCACGTTGTCTCTAACGCTATACAAGCATCTGTTGGCTGGAACGCATAGTCTCTCTACTCACCTGCTGGACGTTCAACAGACCTATGGCTCAGCAAATAGGCCATGAGAAATTTCCGTGCTCTATCATAACCCAAGTGACTATAAGAGAGGTGCAATCCTCAATAATATTCTTGCCTCCCCTTTGTAATGGTGCAACAGATAGGATAACATTTGACTTTCATCCGACTATTTACTTTAAATGATGGTAGAGTAACTAGCAAAAGGGCGAAACGGTTCAGGCTGTCCACCAAAACGCATGATGTCATTTATCTGCAGACTAATATTATTGAGAATGGTATAGAACGTAACTATATTCGCATCGGGCTATTCGCCTATTGACGCAACCTCAGGGGAGCAGCCCTCCATAGAGGACTTAAGTTGCTTACAGAATATTTAAAACATGACACTTCGCTTGGTTAAGTTTTAGCGTGTTCTCCACCGCCAATTTCTCTATTGTTGTAAGGTCCTTTTAAAGCTCAGTTGCATCCTCTTCGTTTCTTATGGACCTCTAGATCTTTGCATCGTCTGTAAAAATTAATGCCGCCGAGCTAATTTTATCTAACAAGTCAGTAATGAATATCAGGAAGAAGAATAGACCTAAGCTGTTCCCTCGTGAAATTCTTAATGTTCAGACTCACCAGCTGGCATGCACTCTATTTATTTTGATACGAAACTTTCTGTTTTCTAGGTAATTTCTGAACTAAAATAAAAGTGGATCAGTGAAGCCCATTTTCGAAAATTTATGTCCGGAGTACGCTGAGTACTGTGTCAAAAGCCTTCACTAACTCAATGAATATTACGTGAACCAATATGTACTTATCCCAGCACGTTTACCAGATGTCCCATGCTCTGAGAAGAATGGATGAACAGGACATTTACTACATAAAACCGAGTTGAGATTTATGGAGGATATTGCTTTCGTCCATGTACTCCTTGACCTGTCTAGCCACCAGCTCTTCCATCCCGTTCGACAGTATTAGTGATAATGAGACTGGGTTTCAGTAGGCTTAATGTTTTCCATCTCTTCCTTTGAAGAGTAGAGACAAAGTAGCCCGTTTTTATCCTCCTGGAAGTTGATGTTACTCCAGCGAGTGCCTGAACAAGTCACATATAAGTGAACTGATGCCTATCGAGCACTGTCTCATGATTAAAGTGTGCATATTCTCAGATCCTGGTGACTTTCCTAGATGCTGGTATTTTATTCTTCTCAGCGCTGACGTGGAATCTAGTCGAATATTCCCCCAGGCTATCAGCTAACGTTAGAGTACAGAAGCGTTTTGCGCTCATAAGTACTTGGTCTATCTGGTCGATTAAGTTGGTACAAAGGATTTCAGCCATTTAGTTAGATTTTTGCCATTCGGTATTTTAAAAGTGCATACACCATAGTTTGAAGGTTTCAACTAATATCTCGAGTTTGCTGGTATTTCGTAGGCTTTTGCTGGCTTCAGAATATTTCGGATTGTTTTGAACTTTCTCGCCGCATCTGTTTCTCAGTGCCAAGTTAGAGCTACGATCACAGTCCTTCAGGGAGACTTTCCGCTTGTGGAGCAAGCGGTCTGTGCCTCGCTTAATCTAGGATTTTATCTTTCCACTTGTGTTCTGTATTTGAGGTACATCTTCAGAAAGCATTTGTGATGCTGTCCCGAACCATCACCAGTGACTTTCTACTCTAATTCTCCACAACTCTCATGGTTGTGGGGCGTGTAGAAGAAGTTCCGTCATGGCCATGTAGTTTGCCTCAGCGTAGCTTCGGTGTGGAGAGTTCTCGTACCTCAGAATTCCCTTGTTCTCGATCACGGTGAACATGACTGGTGTGTGTATATGGACACTCTTTACTTGGAGCTGGTCATTTCTTAACAAATAATCTAAGTTCAATGTGTTTCCCTCCTCATCCCTTCTTGTGGTATCACTCACATGTTTTGCCACTCCATAACTTCCTATGGCTGTGACAAACCACTTATGGAAACATCGTGTTGGAGTTGCTCCTTGCTTGCCGAGACCTAGCGATGGAGTTTCCAGCTAATGGTATATGTCTATAGTTGCAATGTCTCCTGGCTTATCTCGTCTTTCTAGGACTTAGCACCTGTTGGGGGCCTCACGATCAAATGTGTGGCCTGCAGTTGATCAATTAGTGCTCGTTGTCTTTAAGGTTGAAGAACATGTTCGACAATTATAGACCTTCTTGTCAGATGATTTAGCTAGTGTCTAGTGTTATGTCACTCGTCACACATAGTTTCTCTTATGCATAGACCTGAAACCTAGTAAACTAGTCCAAAGAGCGTAAACTTCGACCTGTGGACAAATTAATCTGTTACTTGACAGTTTGTTCTCAATCACTTTTCAGATCATTTGAAATTTAATGTCTTCCCAAAAAACTATTACCAGCTAAATGCCATACTAGATACGAATTCACTGTATTACTGAATTAAAACAAAGGAAATACTGATAATGAATTCTATCACTGGTTTTCTTGAATTGTTTTACTGAATTCATGGTATTTAGACACTGAGTTTTTTAAGAAATACAATGAGTTGTTTTCTTGTCGCTTCAAAAGTAAAACAATTTAGTGAATAAGAACAAAATCAAAAGAAAGAGAGAAAGAATGAGAAATATTTTCATTGTTTCACGATTGTTCAAATCAACACATTTTTATATCCCGGACCGTATTCTCTGAGAAACGACACGTATAATATCATTAAACACTGACAGCATTAATTCGTAATACAAAAACGTTAATATTGCCCAAGTTATGCATAATAACAAACCAACTATACATGCTGTAATAACTAAATGTCTTGCAATATCACTTTTACGTCTGTATTGAATAATATCTGAGGCACGATAATCAGTATAGGCACACAGTGAATAAACTAACGCCGGTAGTGAACACCATATAGTAATTGGACAACAAAAGATGGCAAAGAGACTACAAACTATAGGACATTTGTCAAATTTCTCATTAGATAATTGTCTGAAAACATCAGGGTTATCATGATTATTACGATCCATGCCAACGATGCCTGAAGCAGATCTGACTAGAAGTGTTTTAGCCGCTTGAGGTTGATACTGATGAACATAATGAGTTTGTTGGTGACTTTGTGGTTGCTGGTATTGTGGTTGTTGATAATTATGAAGAAAAGAATAATTTTGTTGGTGGAATTGTTGTTGCTGCTGTTGTTGATGACATGGTAGTGGTGTAAACAAATGACGATTTTGATGGTTGAAGGCATAGGCTCCATACGGTATATTATGTTCACCTGAGACCATATTCGCATTCTGTTCAAGAGCTAAATTATATTGAGGGTGAAGATGATAGTGGAAAGCAGGTTGTAAATGTGCATTGTACGCAGGAGATTCATTTCTTCCTTCATTGTCGAAATCTTCCAATAAATTTCTATCTGTCGGTGCTTGCAGACCAACTAAACTGCCTTGAGGATCATAAATTGGCATGGTGTTAAATGCAGCCCCACAAACTTTACTGCCAGCAGTCAATGAATTATGGTGATGATGTTGATGATTACGTAGATTATTTTCTTCGTGAGCATATTCTTCTTCATCATCATTTCCATTTTCTTCCTGAATAATGTGATTTACGGTCGATTGAGAGTTTGGATGATCTAAGGATGAATTATTTACATTCGGTGATGATGATGGCTGTATTAAATGAGATTGCTGAGTTTCATTTATATTTGGTTTAGTTTCAAAATCCATTATTGACTGAGATTATTTAGCTTCAGATTTTATTATCTATCATCTTGAATAACAAAAATAGAAAATAGTAATGGATTTTGTAGATTTTGATTGTTTTTATTTTGTGCTAACATTTTGAACAAAGAACTAGGAAATTTAATAATCGAGTTGAAAAACTTAAGTCTCATATTCACTGAGATAATATTAAGAAATCTTACTAGGAACACAGTGTCTCATACATTTTTCATGATCATATTACTTGAGCACAACTGTGAATAATGTCTCACAAACTTGTCGAAGACTATATATAATGCTAATAGCATTACCTGTCGATTTATGCCTTACATTATATAATTACACTTACTGTGATTATTAAATTTAAAATATTACTGTCTAGAGACTTATTTATAGTAATTAGTGTCTTCGATAAATTTGGATAATAATAATAATCATAGTTTTCGTAGGATTCATCACAATTATCTTATAGATATATGATACTAATTTTAAAAAGGATAATCAGACATCTTCAGAAATAAAGACAGTACCAAGTGTTACTCGCATCCAAAAATACCTCCGCAATTTGTAGGATACATTCTACATATCATTGTATACCACTCAACATCAAATGAACTATTTCGAGATTGTATGACAGTTGAAATTAAACTTTTGGCTAAGGTTTTTCGCTGAATATGCACTTATCTTTTTAAGTATTTCTGAGTTCCTAACCTACAAATTGTTTAATGTTTGCCACCATCTTATATCTAAGTTTGTACAAGTGATAACTTATCAAATGTTACAAATTATTTTATAAACTGGCGAAAAGGATGTTAAACTCATACAAAAATGCAAGATATTTAAATAAGATTGAAACTTTAAAGTACAAGTTTTTTTGAAGATTGCTACTTGATATTTCGTTTCAATTCAAATTATTAATTTGTGACAAAACAGTATTCTTTTTACCAGTCATCATGAAAATAGTTTTAAATGAAAAGGCTGAAATTCTCTGACTGATAAGTGACATTCTCTTTTATTCTTGTAAGTTTGAAAGTGATATTTAACTAGATCGTCTATGATGTTATCTTAGGTTCATAATCTAAACGACTGGGATTCATATTTTAACTCAATAATTGTATAAAAGTTATGCCTTGGTTATCTGTTATATAATTCAGAAAATAGGATTGATATTATTTCTGTTAATATCTAATTAAATGTTACCTTGAATCAATGAACAAGTAGGCCCATTTTCTTAGTAATTACAAATCAACAACATCCCATTTACAAGGTAATCGAATAGTCAGTAATTAGCTTAAATAAAATAATTTTAATAAAATATTGCAGAAATTAGATTAGTTAAAATAAAAAGATTTAAAATGGGTTATTATTTTGACAACACATTTTAAGAATACATGATATTAGCTATGAACTTTGATTGACTGAAGATGTTGTATTATTTCCCACAGAGCTGTCAGTCTTAGGACCCACAAAGAATCAAATCTAAGGCCATTGATTTCAGGAAACATATTCTGAATTATAATTATCGTTCAATATCATCATCTGCTAATCATTTTCACTCCACATTTAATTGTCCTCAGAAATCACAGCCATCAAAGTATTTTGTAAATTGATTAAAATAAGTCACTCCTCTTAAGTAGTTTATGAAACATGGATAGTTAGGAAGTTTGGATACTTATAAGAGGTTATATATATAGATGAAGATATAAGCCGTTCAGTAATTACCAGTTTTCATTCGTCTAATAGCTGATGTAACTATTTTACTGTTCTTTTAAATGTAAAGTCATTCAAAGTCTATTTTAATACAAAGCATATCAATTACTAATACGCAAGTGACAGCAAGAAGATTAAGATATACAGTATTTTAGGCACAAACTAGTACAACTTAATAGCTGTAAGGTTGTGCAACAACAAAAAATGGTATCATAGTGTATTTAATTCACAAAATTTATACAAATGCTCTCGTTACATATGCGTAGTGAGTGTCGTTTCATGTGTAAACGAATTTCTAAAGTCACTGTAAATTTCTTCCGGAAAATAGAAAGAACAAGGGAAAATCTTATCTTTATATATGAAAATAGTAGGTCTTATTCTCTTTTTCCAGTGCAGCCTATAACCATTGTTATTTCTAAATCAAAACAACAAACAACTGTACCATTTAAGTTCATCACAAGTTTTTTACAAAACATTTATAAATAGCATAAATCGATCGGTGTTTCAAAGACTTTTTTTAAAATGAATACAATTTCTATAAATAAAATCTGGAAAATACCATATGGTTCATTCTATTTTAAATATTCCAGGCACCAGACAATATTGCTACTTTCAAAATACATAAACGTGATATTTAAGAACTTGTAGAAAAACGAATAACATTTTAGCTGGTCATTTTTATCACAGTAACAAGAAAATTTACCAATTCAAAGCAGCCGATTAATGATTAATGAATTTCCATTTAATATTGATATATTTTCCAGTTTAAGGACTTCATATATGAATAATTTCTCTAGTCATAATTATAAATTCTCTCTGATAATTTATTACATAAAATCGAATTTTGCTGTCATCGAGTTATAGTATTTCGTGATTATTAAAATGTATAATTTTCTTTAGAAATTGTATGAAACAACTTAGCTCTAGTGAAATAAAAGTCCAAAAAATTTTCATAATATATTTAAATGCTCTTACATTGTCAAACACTATTGAATAAGTAGTTAAAATATGCGATTAAGGTACAGTACACTGTAATTCAGATCATCTTGAAAACCAAGCTAATGAGCCAACACGTAATTTACAAACAAAACGAAAAATTAATAAACCATCAACTGCCAGTCAAATAAACAAACTTGGAATTTCAACAGTTTGATTAAATACGGAAAATTTATAAAGGTCAACTAAATAAAAGTTCAAATAAACATACGATGATAAATGTAAATGAAGGTGAGAGAAAACTAACATAGTATAGAAAGAATAGAAAATTGTCACAATACCCTAGGTCATAAGATGGCTTAAAGATTACCAGGGTAAATTCAAGGTTATAACAGATTGTTTCGGTACATAAAAGGGAGTATGAATTTCAACAAACCTAAGAGCTATCTCGATATCAATCCTATGGCCCATTTCGTTTATACAGTTTTCTATTTCCCATGTTTATCGGGTCATTTGATATTAACTTATTTTAAAGCCATTTAAGCACATAAAATGTGACCAGACTGTTCGAAATATCGAGCGCAAATACATCACATTTTGCAGATCAACTACGTCTTCTCAATGTACCATCAAAATTTGTAGAACGGACTTAAACTTAATGTAGGCCAGTTGTTCAGAGTAAATAAATAAATAACCTTATTAGATTAACACAAATCTATAAAGGAACAAAACAATATTTAGTTCGATCAAAATCAAAACAGGTCTGATTATTTCAATATCATGTGAATTGTTTTGGTCAGGATTCTGTATGAGGGAAAGTGTGTGTATCTGTATGATGGTGGGTATGATAAATGTGTAATTTGCAATATGAAGATATACAGTTAATCTATGAATGTGTCTGTGTGTAGATTGTGCGGAAGATGAACAGATTTAGATGTGATCGTTTGGACAAACATTTCAAGTTAAATGAATAGTCAAAACATTTTTATTGAAGACAGAAGCACTGTGCATGATACAAAGCGCTTCAGCTATAGCTGGAAAACCTTTCTAAATTATATTGATATTTTTAATGTAGATTTAGTCGTTATTGAAAATAGCATGTACTGACATTGTCGATTTCATTTTCCAAGTTTTTCATCACTACAGAATTGTTAGGAAGTCATTTTGTATGGCTTAAAATGATCCTTGACACGAGTCGAGATTTCATAAAAAGACTTTACAACATAGAATCCATCATGATCTAAACAACCTAATTAACAAGCATTTCTGTGTGGATGTAACCGGGACCACCTCCATAATATGAGCTAACACATTTCTCAGAGTTCTACTTGTTTTAGAAAAAGCTTTAATTCTGTATGTAATGAAAACTATATGTGTTTCTTTTGTTGTACCGAGTCGGCGAAGCAAAACTGCTGTACTAATCAAAAATATTTCATTAAAATTTTTATTTAAAGATGAATCGTTTCATTAAATAGTAAGATATTTTTCATATTATTTTTTCCCTAATGTTGAGTGATGAATGTAGATAGACAGATTGTATTTTACGTGAAATATTATATTCTAAAACTATTTTTCTCAGATTTTCCAATGAAACTTTTACGTTTCTATATATCATATTAGCTTAGAAAAGCATTTAAAGTCAGGAAATACTTGATAACCGCTGTATTCTAGTACATGAATACATATGGGGTCGAACACGCAACCTGAGGCGCTAGCAATTCACCATTTTAGGCCTGAACCCAATAGAAAATCGAGATTTGGTAATCTCTTATACTTTCGTGACCACAACACTCCTTAAAATTTGTTTTGGTTTTATTTCTCAACATTATCGTTCAGTTTTCGATCTATGACTAGTTATTGATTCGCCCCTATGATTTTTCATATTTATTACTCAAGCGTTGTTATCACTTCCACGTTTGTTTTTATTTCTCCTTGATTTCCGTTAAACAAACAATTATCTCTCATATCTTTAATCAACCACTAATTTTCTTCTTCTGGTTCCATGTAACCTCTAAATCATTACACAACCTCTGAGATTTTCAAACAGTATGATAAATAATCTCTGTCTGTTTTTCTGTAGATTCATATATCTGTTAAAGCACTGTGAATACGATTGTATAACTTTACTGGTAAATTCATTTGTATTGATTGTTTGAATCGTTTCATCCATGTTTAGGAGTACAATAATATTGTCACAAAGAAAAGCCTTTTTATTTTTTTCAAATATTTTATTCTTGCCACAGAAAAATAGATAGTACTATGTTGGAACAATTTCCCCTCGTTTAATAAATCATTCTCATCTCTTAAAAAAAATAGGAATGTCAAATACATGCACATATTCTCGCATTACTGATTAGTTTTAAATTAATTGATTTTTCAAAAAAAATCATGATAGTTTTGTTG